ATATATAGATATATATTTATTTTTTTTCCATCTCAATTTTAGTTGGTGTAATAAATGACTATAACCCACGGGTGATATAGGAATTTTATTTATTGACTTAATAAAAGTTACTTTTTAAAATAAAATTGTTTGGTATAGTTCCACTAATTTGGGACCATTTGGTATTTGTTTCCCTCACCTCTCTACTCCTGAACTAATTCTTTCTCTTAGAAATTAAATTCAATAAGGGTTAACCTCCTCCAGGAGATATACTTATACCTATAATTTAAAATAGTTTTCCTTTCTCAACTAGGCTTCCTCATAAACTGAGAGAAGTCACCTATGACTCACATGAGGAAGATGGAATTTCTATGATTTCTGATTGACTGTCAATGAGACTGTGAGTTTACCTGCTTCTTAGGTTCACTTAATCTGAAGGGGAATTCACCAGACTCTGTCTCGCAGTTGGCTCAGGTGATTGGCCTCCTGGCAGCTTTGGTCTAGGCAATATTTCCGGGAACCCTGCACTACCGTGCCCTTCAGCACCTCAAATTCTTTCACCGGCACTGGGGCCTCTCATAAGGGGCTTACATCCCTCTGCACATGGAGAAGAGGGAAGAACTCCACTAGTGGATCCTGAATCTGGTCATCTGGCATGGCAGGGTCATCTTTGGGCTTCAGTGGGAGGCGTCCATAGAGTCGGACGCAAGTCTTCACTGTCTCTTCACGGCCTCGAGGAGTCCCGCCTGCACGTCAGCAGTTTGGAGTTGCTGGAAAGATCCTTTGCCCTTCTGAGTTTATCATCAACCACCTGGGCAGGACACTTCAAAAACACTGGCATAAGACTTTTGGGATCTTTGTTTGGCTCGGCACATCATGATGCAAGCGGAATACATCCCCGGCCTATCCAAGGTCACGGCCGACTGGAATTCTCATTTCCTGCTGGACCCAGTGACTGGAGACTATCTTCTTTCTTTCGCTCAGCCTGAACTTGTTCACTACTCACATCCTCTTCTTCTGCCAGACCTGGACTCTCTGGCGGTGGACGCCTTTCTTCAGGATTGGAGTGGGGCTCGCCACTACGCCTTTTCCCCATTTTCCATGCTGCCCTCAGGTCCTGGAATTGACCATTGAGGTTCCCAGATTTCCCGGGCCAGACTCTTTCTCCTTCTACATCCCGAAGGCCGTCCTCGCCCTATTGGCGTGGCGGATTTCCGAGGACCTTTGTGCTTCCTGGAACTATCGGATTCATCTAGACGTTTTCCGGTGGGTTCATGTGCCCCAACACCAGGGCCGCTTACCGCTCAGCCCGGCACATCTGAACCTGGATGCCGTTTGAGAACCTATGACGGTGATTCTCCAATTCCTCTCTTTGTTGTTAGTCGTCAAGCATATCGCATGCTTAACGTGAATAGTTCTGTGATCTCGTCGCTTAACGTGTATACACTCTGGATTTGGATAACCGCGTGGTTTGATATCTCAAGGGACATTTACACCTCCTGCTGGTCCGTTTTTTATCCTGTTTCCTTCTAGGCCGCATTTGTGCCTGATGTCTTGCCTTCGGAAGTACGAATGCAGAACTTATTTCCACCATCCTCCAGATGCCTTCCCTTTGATTCTCGCCTTATGGCCCCCCTTTCACCCTTACATAGTTACATAGCTGAAAAGAGACTTGCGTCCATCAAGTTCAGCCTACCTCACATTTGTTTTTTGCTGTTGATCCAAAAGAAGGCAAAAAAAAACAGTTTGAAGCACAATTTTGCAACAAGCTAGGAAAAAAATTCCTTCTTGACCCCAGAATGGCAGTCAGATTTATCCTTGGATCAAGCAGTTATTACCCTACATTGAAAGATTATATCCTTGAATATTCTGTTCCTGCAAGTATGCATCTAGTAGCCATTTGAACATCTGTATGGACTCTGATAAAACCACTTCTTCAGGCAGAGAATTCCACATCCTGATAGTTCTTACAGTAAAAAAACCTTTCCTTTGCCTTAGACCCTGTCTTTAGCATTACTCTGGCTCGCTTGGTCAAGTGGGTATTGTCCTCTGCTGCTGTGGATGTCTGTCGTTTCGGGGCCCCACTCTGCCTGTTGTGTGTCTGCCTTAAAGGTAACGGGGAGCAGTGTGGAAGACTTGATGCATTCTGCTGATTGGTCATGTTATCTACCGGCTGCACATTTTATTTTAAGTCTATAATATTTTTTTCTTCTCTGGTTGCACAGCTTTGAACATGTACAATATGAGCTTTCGTGTCTTAAAATAAAATTACATGGTTTTGCTATTTTATGATGAAACGCCATGATTTTATGAAAGACACAGGGAAGAGAATTGTCCCACCTAATTTGGTTGCGCTTCTCCCTCTCTTATTTCTCCTTTTGTTATCATGCTTCATTGCTTTCTCAGGTGCATGTTTCTTCCGTCAGGTTTCACTTGTATGATTTACCATTATTACTTTTATTATTGTTTATATAGCGCCAATAAATTCCGTAGCGCTGTACAATAGGCCTTAATCTAAGTGCACAACACAAATGTTAAAAAGATACATTTTAATGTCAATTTTGTAAAAAAAATTTTTAAGGCATTTTGTCCTACATTACCCTGTGGGGAAACAGTGGTTCTTAAAGGGATACTATAAGTACTAAAACAACATTAGTTTACCAAAGCAGTTTGAATGTCTAGATCATGCCCCTGAAGTCTGACTGCTCAACTCTCAGCCATTTAGACAATTTTGTTTGTTTATGCAACCCTAGCCACACTGCCCCAGCTGATACTCATACAGTCAACATCAAAAATAAAATGCTTTCCATTTCAAGCAGATCTTAACTTCATTTAGAATATTTTTTTTATCTTGTGCTCAGTAAATTGAACAGCTACAGCCTACCAGACCACTTGCGCTCATTGAAGTGGAATGGGTGCAGTACCCCTGTCCAGAGCCAGTCTGTCCATTGTTCCTGGAGGAGCTATGGCTCCAGGTGGCACTTTCACAGGGGCATACACTTTAATGAGGGTACTGTGAGGCCTGGACCGTATGTATTATACACTTACACACAGTTCCGACCCCTTGTTCTGTGAAGAGGCTGCCCAGGAGTCTAATCTTCCCCTCTATCAGCTTCATGTCCTTTCCTCTTGTGAGCCGTGAGGAAAGACTATACTTCTGGGCCCCCTTTTCAGAGGACAATAATGATGTGCCAATGGACCACTAGGCAAGTGGCACAGCATTCTTGTCCAACACAGTCCCTATCCAACCCCACTACACACACTCTGCATCCACTAAACACCCTGCACAATGACTTGGGCCGGTTCTGCTCTTTTCACTTTAACCCTGCAATATCATTATTGCATTTATTGATAAACTGCAACAATTACATTGCAGGGTTAGCTACACCAGCCGCTAGAGGCCATTCCGGGTCGTTACTTTTGGTTGTCTGACACTGAATGATAACATTCAGCGTCAACTAAAAACCCCATAGGTAAGCTTTAATTCAATGCTATCCTGTGGAGTAGTCCTAAAGTGATGGCGGCACTTGCCCACATTAGGTTCCTGACGTGGAGGAGTCGAGGCGGAGCCTGACTAAGCACAGAGGGACATTGGCACTGGAATCAGGTAAGCAACAAATGTTTTTAGCACTTTCTGCCCTGCAAGAGGGGCACTATAGTAATAGGAATACTATAGTTTCTCTTTAAGTTGACACAGAAGGCTCCTGCAGGGTCTACAAGACTAGTAGCAGAGCAAGAGATCTAGATTAAACATTAATTCAAGGATTTTACAATTATCATGACGGAAAGTCATGATTTTATTAAAGACACGGAGGCGAGTATTATGCTGCACTCTTTCTTTATTTCCCTCAGCAGCAAAGAAACATTATTGAAAAAAAAACATTCAAAGCAGGTTTAAACATCCTGTAGGCAATGTCCGCCTAGCAACATGACCATCCAATCAGTGACATCCTTCCCATATAGTAGGCGGAGCGTTGATGACCATTTCCTCTTTCTTGCGACTCCCAAAGAAACTCAACTCGGAACAGGGACAACCAAGTAAACCAAACGAGCCGTAACAAGGCATGTGATTCCAGGAGCTCTTTCAACCAGGTCACGCTAAAGAAACAAGAAAAATATGATAATTTCTTGAAAGTTTGGGTTGTCCGCATATAAATAGGCCCCAATGGCTGACTAAACAGTGTAAACCTTATACAACAGTAGTAAGAGGCAATCACAGATTTGAGGACAACAGTGACAATAAAGTCCCATCATTAGATAATGTCCTAGATCGACGTAGGTATGTGATGGTACCACTACCGCCAAATTGGACTTACCTAGGAGAGGTCTGAGAAACTTACCTCAACCCACCTCCGGGCCGCCCGCGGGCGCGTGGGATAATACTTGCCTCCATGTCTTTAATGAAATCATGACTTTCCGTCATGATAATTGTAAAATCCTTGAATTTTATTAAAGACCCGGAGGCTCCTATTATGCTATTTTAAAGCTGTGATATCACGGCTTCTGCGAAATGCTGGATTGGTTTGAAATAGAAATTACGGAAAGTAGATTCTGTGGACCAATGAGCTGCCTTCAATATATCTTCCAAGCGACAACCCGCAAAGGAGGCTTTAGAGGCCATGGCGCCCCGGACTGAATGAGGAGAGAATATGGAGGTATCAATACCTGTTAAGGACATGAGCCATTTGACCCAACGTGCCAAGGTAGGAGAGGATACTGGAGCATGTGGTTTACGGAAGGAGATGAAGAGTTGGGGATCTGACCCAGACCAAAGGGGTGCAGTACGAGCTTCGTACGCCCTAAGACACGCTACTGGGCAAAGGAGTGGCTTCATGGGAAAAGCTGGGTACAGGACCAACTTGGAGGACGATTTCGTCCTACGTGTTATGTCAAAAACGACTCCTTCTGGGGTGAAGGATCGGGCATTGACGTCGAGGGCTCTAACGTCCGACACTCTTTTGCATGAGATTAGGCACAACAGCATAACTTGCTTAGCTGAGAATTGTTTTAAGGATAAACATTCGTTGTCTGGCCACCTAGTCAGGAATTGTAATACCAGGGAGACGTCCCATAGGGAGGAATAGCGAGGTAGGGGTGGCCTCGCAAAGCGAATGCCTCGGAGAAGACGACAAACCAGTGGATGTCGTCCTATCGGGGTTCCATCGATGCCGGTATGGCCGACTGAGATAGCTGATCGGTAGAGGTTTATCGTCCTGTAAGCTTTCCCAGTATCATACAGGGAGGTTAAGAATTGTAGGACTTTTGTTACAGTAGTTGATAGGGGATAGACACCCCGTGCCACGCACCAACCATCCCATGCCCGCCAAGCAGACTTATAAGACTGTGTCGTGCCGGGTGCCCATGCACCCTCGAGAAGTCGGAGAGTCTATTGCGAAACTCCTGCGATTGACCAGGGTCCCCGGAGATCAACCATGCCATGAGGCAGAGGAGGCCCTGAAGGATCAGGGGGTGGGCATCCGGGAGGAGCCGCGGGTGATCTATGGCCATCTGCAGTAGAGGAGGAAACCAAGGCTGCGACGGCCATAGGGGGGTTATTATAACTAGGCAGCTCCATTGGCGTCGCAGATGGAGGAGGCAACGAGGCATAAGGGCGAATGGAGGAAATGCATAGTTCCTGGTGGTTGACCAGTCTTGGGAGAATGCATCCGTGGCCGAAGACGCAGGATCTGGACTCCAACTGAAGGTCGGAAGTTGGGTATTCAAGCGGGAGGCAAATAAGTCTACAGCCAGAGGACCCCACAGGTCCCCAATGCGCTGGAAGACTCGGGGATCGAGGTGCCAGTCGCTGGAATCCCGCAGGTGACGGGAGTACCAATCTGACGTGGTGTTGGACAAACCCGGTAAATACTCCGCCCTGACAGCCATGTTGTGGTGTAGGCAAAACTGCCAGAAGTCTCGAGCCAGATTCGCTAGAAGTTTGGATCTCGTACCACCGAGGTGGTTGATCTAACGGACAGCCGATATGTTGTCCATCATCAGTAGGATCGAACACTGGGACAGTGTCGGGGAAAGGCTGCGAACCGCAAAGGACCCTGCTAGGAGTTCCAGGCAATTTCTATGTAGCATGGATCCTGCTTCCGACCATTGTCCGCCTGTGGAGATATCTCCACAGCGCGCACCCCAACCGTTAGAGCTGGTGTCTGACTCTATGACTACGTCTGGGCTGAGCCGAAGATGGCTCTGCCATTCCACGCCTCCATGTGTAGGAGCCACCATTGGAGTTCTTTTTTCGCTTCTGTGTCCAGAGTCAGAGTATCCTCGTATGAGGCGCCGCCACTCATACGAGGGAGGGCTCTGTAATGAAGGGGACCCGGATAAATGGCCTGTATGGAGGCCGCTAGGAGCCCGATCACGCAGGCAAGATGACAGAGATATGTGTTGAGAGGTAAGAACTCGTCTTATCTCTTTCTTGATTCTTCTCATTTTGGATGCTGGTAAGTACAGGGTTTGTGTGTCTGAATCCACCAAGAGTCCTAGGAACTTTATTTGTTGAGTGGGGATTAGAATGGATTTTTCCCAATTTATAATGAAGCCCAAGTTCTGTAGCAAGGTTGTGGTCCAACCGAGGTGAATATGAAGTTATGATACTGATTGAGATAGCAGCATGATGCCGTCTAAGTATTTGATTAGACGAACTCCCCGACTGAGTAGGAGAGCGATGACGGGCTTCATGAGCTTGGTGAAACACCAAGTTGCAGAAGAGAGCCCGAAGGGAAGGCAGCGGAATCGCCATTTCCTCCCTTGCCATGTGAATTGCAGGAAGTTCTGGTGCACCTGCGCAACGGGTACCGTGAGGTAGACGTCTCTTAGAGTTTGACCATCCAGTCCGCTGGCTGGAGCAAATCTCGTAGGCAATGAATGCCTTCCATCTTGAAGTGATGGTAGGTTATGTAAGTGTTTAAGTGTTTGAGGTTGATAACTGGGCGGGATCTGCCCCCTTTTTTGGGGACAATAAATAGGTTGCTCACAAAACCCGGGGTATCTATCGGGATTTCTTGAATAGCCCCTTTGAGTGCCAAATCTCGAACTTCCTCGGAAACGAGGGTCGTGTCTATTGGGTAAAAAAACAAGCTCCCTTGGTTGGGAGAGTTGAGTGGGCAGAGATACAAAGTCTATTAGATATCTTTGGACTGCCCTGAGAATCCAAGCATCTGATGTAATTAGAGCCCAGACATGGGAAAAATGCGTGAGTCTGCCCCCTATTGCCACATGTGAAGAAAATTGAGAAAGGTAACTTACCGTAAGGACGCCTTCCGGAAGGAGTGCCTCGTGCACCTCTCGACACCCAAGGTCTACCTCGTTGAGGGAAGAAGGTCGGAACGGACCTCTGGTCTGGAAAGGGGGGTCTCCCCATATAGGGACCTTGGTTCGGGCGCAAACCTCTATTGGCTCTGCCGGACAGACGGCCCCTTGCTCTGCCGGCCCCACCAAAAACCTTTGGGTGGAACACCCGCTTTAGATTGGATTGTGCCTTGTCTAAGACATAGGAGCCCAGGTCTTTTACAAAAGACTCTCCGAAAAGATACCCTTTAGCTTGGGATCCAGGCTCAGTAATTGCCATGTTTACAAGTTTTGGTTCAATTTTAATCAATATAGATTTACGGCGCTCAGTAGCCAGAGCTGTATTGGCATTGCCTATGAGGCATATCACTCTCTGAATCCAGCCTCTAATAGTGAGGCGATCTAAGGCTTCGTCTTGCGCCAAGGATACCTCCAAGGCTTCAAAAATTTTGGTCGCTGGACCCAAAATATCCAAGACTATCTTGACAATTATAAAGTGAGAAGTCTAGACCTGCCTTGGGTTTCCAACCTGTTTTACTTAAAAATTGAATAATTTTGGGGTCAACCTGGGGTGTTTTACAGACCTCGTCTGGTACGGTGGGACGTGGGCATTCGGCCTTTAGTTTGTTACGTGTTGCCTTGTCCAAAGGCTTACGGACCCGTGATGCGATGTATTGCGCCACATGCTCAGCCGGTGACCATTCCGCAGAGCGGGGGTGACGTAAGTCGTCGGGTTCAAACAACGGTTCACCCTGTGGGTCAAGGATTTTTCCCTCTTTGTTTAAGTCAGAACTGGGCATGTCAGTGGAAAGTATCTTAGTGGAGGGATTACACTACTTAACAGCTCCATACTTCGAATCTAAGTCGGTCAAATCGTTAGACTGATCTGAGTCTAGGGCAGGGGCACTCTCCTCATCTGAACTGAGTTCTGACTCAGTCGTATCGGGCTGGGCTTTAGCCCACTTCCAATGTCTAGCCATTTTTGCCCGGCTCTTTTGCGTGGTGGTTCGATATTCGCGCCATCTATGACAGGTGTTATGCTGTCCATCACAAGTTTGGAGGAGTGCTTGACTTTAGCCAAGGCTTTGCGGCCGAGGCGTGGGGGCTGAGAAACAGATGGTTTCGCGACTGGCGCAGCAGTCGGAGGGACCATTAACTGGGCCTGTAGTAGTGCTTGCGTAAATGATTTGGAAATAGAGGAGGACATAATGTCCATGGCAGATGCCAAAGCTTTGGATACAGATCTGGATACAGTATCATCCATGATGGCTTGGATTTCCCCTGATGCTGGGAAGTCCACCTCATCCCCAGAAGCTACAGGGGGAATATCCAAGAAAGGGATTTGGGGGTTAGCTGGTGCCTCTGAGGGACCAGGCAATTCATTAGAGGCGTGCATAATGTAATGAGAATAGCAGGCAAAGATAAAGGCAAGTTTATTGTCAAAGACAAGCAGGGTTGAGTAACCCAGCAAACAGTACTCACTAGATTACTAAAGTTATGGGAGCAGGAGACAGGGGAACCGTCCAACTCCGAACGCCAACTCCGACTCGAGGGACGGAGTGGGTGTGACAGAGTAAAAGGGCACGAAAGCGCCGTTTAAAATGGCCGCCGGCGAAATTCCGGTTGCAGTTGGGCTTCCCGCAGTTTGATCGGTAACCGCGAGGCAGCCGGCAGAGGTGTGCAGTGGCTGTAACAGCGTTGTTGGTGTGCGGCTGATTGAAATCCCGAGTGCGGATACAGTAACCTAGCCGCAAGATGGCCGCCAGGGGCGTCCCTGACAGGAGGCGCATGCGCAGCTGATGTAGGCAGTACCCGGAGCAGTGACCGCGGCGGTTTGCCCAGAGAGAGTCTCCCTAGGACTTGTAGTGTCCTAGGGAGTAATCAGCATAAAGGGCAATTGTAGGCAGAAATACACTCTGAAATCAAAGGCATAAATGCCTAGTAAAAGTGAGCAAAGAAACTACAGCACCATATGCTAATAGGTACAGAAAAAAATTAGTCTGTAATCATCACATATATAGGAAACATATTTGCCTTCAGTAAATATAACTAGCATGCAATAATAACAGACATATAATAAAAAATATATAATCCCACAGCCAGTAGCTGAGAGAGTTGTACTTATCTGAGGGAAAGCAGCAAAGAAAGAGGAAATGGTCATCAACGCTCCGCCTACTATATGGGAAGGATGTCACTGATTGGATGGTCATGTTGCTAGGCGGACATTGCCTTTAGGATGTTTAAACCTGCTTTGAATGTTTTTTTTTTTTCCAATAATGTTTCTTTGCTGCTGAGGGAAATAAAGAAAGAGTGCAGCATAATACTCGCCTCCGTGTCTTTAATAAAATTCTAGATTAAACAGACTCCGTAATAAAGGAAGTTTAAACATTAGATATCTTATAGAACACGACAGCAGGTAACCTTTGGCACTCCAGATATTGTGAACTACACTTCCCATGAAGCTTTGCCAGCATTATGGCTGTAAGAACACTAAGGGAGATATAGTCCACAATATCTGGAGTGCCAAAGGTTGCTTACCCTTGCAAAATAGTGTTTGGACTACAAACATTATAGTGCTGGACTAGCACTATAGGTAACCAGCTCCCCTCAGTATGGAGTTAAAATGTATTTAACTTGTCCTTTTGTCCATCAATACACTGGTCTTGCTGCAGCTGGCCCCACCTCTATGGCGGAGATCCATTAATCTTTATGATCTCAGCCAATCCAATGCTTTTCCACAAGAAAGCATTTGAAGGCTATAATGTAGGTCCGGCACAACACAGATCTTAAATAGGAAGCACCTCTAGTGGCTGTATGAGTGCCTGCACATAGAGGCGTTACTAGGCAACAATGTAAACACTGCCTTTTCTCTGAACAGGCTCCGTTTACATTGTTGAGTCTGCAGTGACATACTACATACCAGATCCACTACACTAAACTGTAATGGTTCTGGTGACCACAGTGTTCTTTTAGGAAGGCTGTGCAAGTCACATGCAGGGTGGTGTGATTAGGGATGGAAAATCAAAGTGATTCAACCCCTAAATTGCAGAGAAATGAGCAGTGAGTCTGCAGGGGCATGATCTGTACACCAAAACTGCTTCATTATCCTAAAGTTGTTTTGGTGCCTCTAATGTCTAATTTTTTTTTTGAAAGAGACTGCACTTAGAAAGACAGCATGTCCAACAGTCCAGTACAGACGGATCCCTGGAGCCCGATCAAAATGATTTTTCCTTCTTATTCATTAGGTGAACCACCACAATTGCAAGGAGAGCTAGTTTGGTGTTTCAATGCAAGGGTAAGAATCCTCTTCACAGTCTTTTAATCTCCAAAAATAGGAGAAGAGCGCTATATCTATAAAATAAACAGAATGAAATGGACCTGGCCATTATTATAGATCTCTGTAGTTGGTGCAGCTGTAAAGCCAGGCATATTAAATTCTCACAAACCAGATATTTATACACATTTACCTTCTCTATGCAATATGATGTCAATTAAATTAATCGTGAATTGTTTTAGAGCAAAGTATTGATATCTATACACATTTACCTTCTCTATGCAACATGATGTTAATTCAATCAATTGGGAATTGTTTTAGAGTTTAGAATCGAGTTGGAAAAAGATGGAGAATGTTCCTAACTGGGATACTTTTGAAATTACATTTTCAATGATCCTCTTCCCCTGATGTAATAACCCCAATAGTGATTCCAGAGAAAGTATTACTGTGCAGCCTTCTGCAGACTGGTACATTGGCTGGATCCACTGTATTACATTCTCATTGATCTTAGTGTGTACCCATCTACAGGTGGTTAGTGCCATATTCCTGCAATACTGTTTTCTGCAAGTATCAGAGCCAACAAAAGCAATCATTTCATTAGAAAGGAATTAGCTGCTGGTTCGGTGCCAGAGGAGGCATGTAACACGAGTCAGGAAGTAAATTCTAGCCTAGGTGTTTCTGCCAGAGGTTGGGTGGTATTGGCAGCGCACATAAATGTATACTCATTAGCAAGTATTCCATAAAATAAATATTGCAATAATAATAAAGGCCAACAATTCACATCTAAATATTTTTGTTCCAATAAGGGACCTAGGACATCAAAAAGTGGTTAGGGCGTCAGTAACGAAATGTGTCTTTCCTTTCTCTGGTACTGATTTGTACATTTCTCTGTACTAGCAGCAACCCAACGATTTGCAGGGATTCGTATTCAATGTCTTTTAGGCCACAGAACGGTCAGCAGTGTCTTCTTAAACATCAGATTAAAGTACACACAGGGCATTTGTGTATGGAGATTAATATAAAATGTGTATAGCTAAAACAGATAGTGGCTTAAACATGTTCTAGAAGAATCTAGAATTGGTCCTAGAATTAAATAACATTTGCAGACAAACACTGAAAACAAACAGGGTACGGAATTTTTTTATTAGCCTTTTTTTTCCATAGGAAACCAGGCTAAAATGAATAGAAATACAATATAAGAGATCTGACAAGCACACCTGCCATTGTTATGAAAAGCTACGCAGCTCATACAAGTCCAAAGACACGAGCCCCTCCCACTGCGCAACATTACATATCTTTTTCTCTTGAGTGAATGAGGACTAAGCCATGAATCCCCCTCTCTATACCTGGTACTTACAAAATCCTCCACAGGTTCAGCAACATTGTGAGAGAAAATCTAATATTTAGTGACCTCTGACAGCTAGAACTGTGAACAAAGGATTGAGTGTTATAACTAACTGTCTTTGCTGCCGCACAGAGCTTGCTTTATGATCCCCTTTCTGAGTCAATCGGGAATCACTGAACTGATTTCTGTATTTCTTGCTGGGAGCTGTTAAAATACTGTATTGCAACAAATCTTTTTGCCATGCTCTCATTACACAGAGCCATCGGCTAGTGGGCCAAGACTTGGAACTACAAATGTCCTAACATTAACCCTGCATAAAGGTAAGCAGATTCAGCTATCAGGACGGCTAAAGCTATCAGCCCGAAGCTTCCTTCTTGGCAGGATATTAAACTTCTGATGGTACCACTCCACAGACAATACATTTAGACCTATAACCGTTCGCTTCAGACATGTAGCATATTTCTGTGTCATAAGATGCTGGCACTGCCCACTTATACACAGCATTGCCCTTATTTCCTGGGTGACAGCATAGAGTACTGCCCCTTTTTCCCCCATCACCAATTATCTAGCATTTTTTTCATGATGCTGAACAGAACAAATTACTTACTGGTGACAGCAGGGTTAATTTGAAGAGCAAATGGTTATGATGCTCAAGCTCATTGAAGTGAGGGACAGGCGGGAGTAAAAACAAATAAAAAAAAAGAAAAGGTACAATCTAAGCTCCATTTTAGAAACTATAAATTGACTGCTGCGGTAATTCTCAATAAGAGACTATCTCCTTCATCAAAAAGCGCTTTATCCTTTCCCATGTAAAAGGCTACAATGCACGGGATGAAGAGATCCCCTTCCCCCGACTTTACAGATACCACAAACTAAAGAGAAGGAAACACGGGCTTGTGCAGTTCATAAGGTAATAAATTATTTTCTTTTATCTTCTGAAATGATCTGTGTTTTTACGTAAGGGCACGTCTTTTTTTTTTGTTTTTTTTTCCTTTGAGGTTTTGTTTTAAAAAGAAAAAAAAAAAAAATGGGAGTAGGGGTGGGCAGGGATTTAAAACAGAAAATATTTACTTCTATAAATAGTTTAGGGGGCAAATGAGTGCCTTTCCACATTCCCCCCATTTCTCTCCTCCTCCTCCTCTTCATTATTATTATCTCAAACAATGCATTATAACTACCAGTTTGGGAGCCCTTTTCCACCCCTCCCTTTTGTTGACTTGTTTTATTTCCGCTGTCAGCTATCCCATGTATGTACCAACTCTGATGTACCCTGATTGGCGAAGATGGGAACGGAAGAAAATCAAAAACCAAATAAAATAAAAAGTATATAAAGATGTTGAAAGTATCCCTTTGCATAGTCTCTTCCCTCATGTGAGAGAGGCTGCATGGGGTCTATAGAATGTCATTTAATTAAAGTTTCTAATTGTCCTCTGACTCCTCCTCAGCTTCTTGTAACCACGTGAAGAAGGCAGTCACAGACTTTAGCGCTACTCCCTTTCCATTCTGCTCCGCTGGATCCTTGCTGCTCTCCCACTTGTAAAAGGCATCCTCTGAGATGACGTCCTCATCATAAAGGCAATCAAAAAACATGCGTAACAAGTCTGCAAAATGAAATAACTTTACTCAGAATACAGCCTGTTATTCAATATTCAAATTACAGAATGACAGGGAGATCAGTATTAAAAGGGACAAGTTAGCCTAGGGAAAACCCTCAATGCATTTTCATGTTAAGACGCACCATCACGCAGTGTTGTCATGCTGCTTTGAAAAGCCAATACAGTGGGTGATGGCATGCTGGGAAACCCCATCAAACAGAGTGGGTGTTAAGGTAATCAGCACCCCTTACATATCTTGCTGCTGTTTCTTTAGGTTTCCAGTAATTACTAAGAAGATACTCACTGGGAGGTTGATCCAGTATTACGATCAATGCTTGAAGTGCATAAAGTGCTTGTAGTTCCCTCTCTGTATCAGAGTCCAAGTATTTTAACAACACTGGGACCCTCTGCTTCAGAAAGGTAGTGTCCACTCGGCAGGAAGAACAGTCCCCTGTAAAATAGAGAAAACAGGAAAATGTATGCGTGATACACACTCACATCCACACTCTTAACATTGGAAAGAAAGTCACTCACCTAGAATTGCTGCTTTGCAGATTGCAGTCATTAAAGCTCTAAGGAATGTAGGTGAACTCATCTGGCATTCATCTAGATTAGCCTGGAAGAGGAGAAATGACTAGACGTGTGAAAATCATACATTGTGAAGTGACTAATAAAAGGTAGAGAGGAAAGGAAAACTATTGAACAGAGAAAGGATAATGACACGGGGTCTTGCATCTGAGAAAGGATAATGACATGGGGAACTGGAAATGAGAAATGAATCAACAATGAGGCAGATTTTTATATAGAATTGAGAAAAAAAATCAACATGCAGATCAATTATTTCCTCTTTACTTACCTCTACCCAATCAAAAATTTGTTCATCATTTGCCTTTTCCTGTAGAATTAGCTGCTCCAGACGCTTGTTGAGTTCCTCTGCTGACATCTCTTTCTTGGAAAGATTCTCTGAGCTTGAGCTGTCACTTAACGTGAAATCTAAATTCTGCAAAATCAACGATGTCTCAAATTGTCAGGATGTCAAACATGGACAGTGTTAATAGCATCTGACACTTCATAGATGTTAAGAAAAGTAGTCATGTTGCAACGAAGGGGAGGCTTTCGCCACCAGCCTCACAGCGCGGGGGCAGAGCTCGCCACCAACACCGCAGCGCTGGGGAAGAGCTCGCCACCAACGCTGCAGCGCGGGGAAAGAGCTCGCCACCAACGCCGCTGCACGGGGGGGAAGAACACGCCACCAACGCCGCAGCGTGGGGGGGGGAAGAGCACGCCACCAACGCCACAGCGCGGGGGGAAAGAGCACGCCACCAACGCCGCAGTGCAGGGGGGAAGAGCTTGCCACCAACGCCGCAGTGCAGGGGGGAAGAGCTCGCCACCAACGCCGCAGTGCAGGGGGGAAGAGCTCGCCACCAACGCCGCAGTGCAGGGGGGAAGAGCTCGCCACCAACGCCGCAGTGCGTGGGCAGAGCTCACCACCAACACCGAGTGCGGGGGTAGAACTCGCCAGCAGCCTTCCAGTAAATGGCAGAGTATGCCACCAACCTCAAGAACAAAGGCAGAGCTTGCCATTAGCCTCAAAATATAGTGGCAGCAGAGAAAGAACATTAGTTATCTATGGCTAAGTGCACTTAGTGTCACAGCACAGGGGAGAGTGTCTCTGCTCCACTGATCTAGCAGTACAACATAGAAAGTATCAGTAATTATATAAAGAGCACAAAAGCACTGGATCACCTGCCATTCTCACCTTCTCACTGACAAAGCTCTGTACATCTTCCCCTTCTGGTAAGAAGTCTTTCCACTTTAAGCCAGTTTCTCTCCACAAAGCAGCCACTTTCTTATGGCTCTGAAAAGAACAAACATGATCAGAGCTGTGATGTATAGGGTTGGTTTTTATGTGGTATGAGGTTAGGCTGAGGTTCTGGTTGCTTCATTTACATTCGCCATTAACAATGCTAAACATGCAATTTGAGCAATTTAAAATAAATTAACACCCCTAGATTATAATCCAGCTCCCTCAATCAATCACATCTGGAACATACCATTTGTTTGCATAGAAGGTGCAAAATTTCAGACAATAAGACGCCTCCACGTCCTACAGGTTGCAGAGCTTTGCCAAACTCTCTGAAGAAAAAACAGTCAAAACAGAATTACATTTTATAAACATCAAAGACACACTAAACACTTTTTCCATTAAGTGCCTACCAACACAGCACACTTGAAAGATCTCTCATTCCCTTTCTCAGGGCAGGAGTTTGACTACACAGACCAAAGTTTCCATCCCAACTGAGCATTGATCTTAAGCGGTCCCTTAACAGAGACATGGAGTAAAAGCACGTTCAAGGCTTGACAGAATACAAGTTACTGTACTCCACAGTTTTTCTGGCGAGGCCTACCTGAGACGCCATGGAATTCATGGCTCCATTTGAATGTTATTCAATGCTCGTTGATGATGGTATGAGCCCACAGAAGTGTACACATCACAAACGACCCGTGCAATTTATCTGGCAATAACAAAATTAGAAGAAAGGTCCAGGCACTCCAAGGTACAAACCAAGCAATTTTATTGAACCCACTCCATCACAACGTTTCGACCTACATGGTCTTGGTGAAGAGAAAGCTTGACAAAGACCGTGTAGGTCGAAATGTTGTGATGGAGTGGGTTCAATAAAATTGCCTGGTTTGTACCTTGGAGTGCCTGGACCTTTCTTCTAATTTTGTTACTCAGCATTTGGTCTCTGGTACTGAGACTGTCCGAGTTGCACCCAGCTACATACTACTTAAAGGGACAGAGTGCAGTTCCACACCCTACCATATCTATCTGGAAATGACAGCTTTTAAAGTGCTTTAACAACTCTAAATGACTATCTGTAAAAAGTGAACACGTCACATACTTACACACGTGCTGCAGATACTTGGTAAAGCAGATTAATATTTTTATTGATATTACCAGGCCATTCACTTCTTCCACAGGGAAGACATTTGAGGCGTTTCAGGTGTCATCTATTACTCAATCAGAATATCAATATAATTCAGTGTGTTGATGTTTGGGTTATCATTCTCTGCCCTTAACCCCTTAATGCCGTCCCCATTTAAATGGGCTTTAAAGCCGTTGCAGCGGCATTGAACGCCGTAACGGCATTCAGCCCCAGGAGCCAGGATTTACTCACCTCCGCCGCGATCCTCTTCTGGAGGGCTGCCTGACAGCCCAGGCAGCCCTCCCACGGCAAATGAGGCCCCCGGGGGCCATGTGGTCGCTCTCAAAGAGCGATCACATGGCCCCCTATAGCTGGCTGTGGATCTGCCAGCAGGGGGACTGTCTGGAGTGTCAGATAGTCCCCTTGCTGGTGGGTAGTGTAAAAAAGATTATTAAATATGTTTAAAATTAATTAAATGTATATATATATATATATATATATATATATATATATATATATATATATATATATATATATATATATATATACACACACATACACACACACACACACACACCATATATATGTAACATCATACATAGTGTATTTTAATGTTAATATGAGTACATATATTAGTATTAAAATACACTCTGAATGACGTTACATATATATAAGATATATATATTATAGCTATATATTTTATATTTGTATATACACTTATAATTACAATAATTAATAAATAATTTAAAAAATTTAAATAAATTATTTATACATATGTAATTTCATTCTAACTATTTTGTTATTAATATATATACATATATATAGGTAACAAAATACACTTAGAATGACATTCTATATCTATCTATAAAATACAAATAACTTCAAATATATACACAGATAAATATATAATTACATAAATATCTACATAAGTGTACACGTAGACTTTAAATACATATATGTATATATATTAAAATTCTACGTGTATATTTAAGTAATATTGTAACATAATTATGTGATTTAATTAGTTAAATTTGATTGACATGCCTGACAACCCAGGTAAAAAGTGCAGAGAATTTAAATTGCAAGCACTATATTTAACCCTGTAACTTTCCAAGACACCATAAAACCTGTACATGGGGGGTACTGTTTTACTCGGGAGACTTCGCTGAACACAAATATTAGTGTTTCAAAATGGTAACTTGTATTACAACAATATTTTTTAGTAAAAGTGAAGTTTTTTTGCATTTTTCACACACGAACAACCCTTTTACTAACGATATTTTTGTTGTAATACAAGTTACCATTTTGAAACACTAATATTTGTGTTCAGCGAAGTCTCCTGGGTAAAACAGTACCCCCCATGTACAGGTTTTATGGTGTTTTGGAAAGTTAGAGAGTCAAATATAAGGCTTGCATTTCATTTTTTTCACATTTAAATTTGCCAGATTGGTTATGTTGCCTTTTGAGACCGTATGGTAGCCCAGGAATAAGAATTACCCCCATGATGGCATACCATTTGCAAAAGTAGACAACCCAAGGTATTGCAAACAGGGTATGTCCAGTCATTTTTAGTAGCCACCTAGTCACAAACAGTGGCCAAATATTAGTTTTTTGCCACTACAAAAGACTGGACATACCCCCTTGCAATACCTTTGGTAGTCTTCCTTTGCAAATGGTATGCCATCATGGGGGTAAATCTCATTCCTGGGATACCACACGGTCTCGAAGGTAACATTACTAATCTGGCAAATTTCAATGTAAAAAAAACAGAAAAATGGAATGTGTTATATTTGATCCTTTAAATTTCCAAAACACCGTAAAAGCTGTTAATGGGGGCTACTGTTGTACTCGTGAGACTTTGATGAATCCAAATATGTGCTTTTTTGCAACAGTATTATGACATTTACAGCTAAAATGTGAGGCGGAACTATAAATTTAAAAAAAAATTCTCACAGTTTTCTTGATTTTATTCATAATAATTTATGTTTCATATATAAATATTTGATATGAAATGAAGGCCCTGTTTCTCCTGAACAAAATGATATATAGTAAGTGTGGGTGCATGAAAGAGGTGAATTACAGTTGAACAGACATATAGCGCAAATTCCAGTTTTTGTTTACATTTTGTTTTGATCAGAACGTGTACTACTGACTCCGTCCTGAAGGGGTTAAAGAGTCTACTGGTAAGTTTTCAGAGAACTCAGGCTGAATGAAGTCTTTGCCTAACATTTTATTGTATCACTCTTAGGAATTATATATCTCAACCACTGATTTCTGTCTGCACTTCTTGCACCGTTTCTCTGATAAGTCAAATGTAGACAACAGGAAAACAGAAAATGTATCTAATAAAGAAATTCATCTATACTTAATCTATTTTCTGGTGCAAAGACCTGCCAGTTTACCTGCCTGGACAGTTCCACTACCATAGAATGAGAAAAGGTTTAGAAATTGCTACCTCAATTCCTGGCATCTGACTTTACATCTGGTTGCTTTTGCAGGTCTGAGTGCCAATAATGGTGGCTTAGTAATTATATTGTAGGCTACGCCTCCACTGAAATCATGACATTCATGCTTTTGGAAGATTCATTTATCCTCCAAGGACCATTTTCTTTGGCCCACCGTGATATTATATATTCAGCTCGAACAAATTTATTGAAGCAGGAGTGAATGTTTTCTGGACAGGTTTAGCCTCCAAGTAAGAATGAACAACTGCCCATGGGTTTCACTTCTCCAGACAAGATAGTCCACCTCCAAGGTTAAACCGCAACAATATGGGAAGAATTAATCTCCCCTATTTCATTATCTTTTTTTTATAAATGCCCAGCCTAGATGTTGAAGGTGGCGACGCTTTTACAAGAGTTTCAGATGGTATGCCATCTAGGATGACCAATGGCGTATCATCTTCCTGGCTTAATTCACAGTGTTTGCAATCGGAACCTTGTGCCTAGTACTTGGACCTAGCCAACCACAGGAATAAATAGGAAGGTAGGAAGGAGAGTCCACTATTTAGCATGCAGTAGTCATGAGAAAGGGGGGAGAGTTATCCAGTGTGCTGCCTGAGAGACAAACAGAAAACACATTACATAAACACAACCTTCCAGAGCTAATGAAAATATTTATATGCGGATTGCTCTCAGGATAAAAATATTGTAAATAAACAGCATAATGAAAAACATCTCTGTGACTCCCTTACATGGTATCAAATCCCCCCAAAATCCTCCCTCACAAGGTTTTTTTATTTTTATCCCCTGTAAGATCCGACCATATTTAATCCAGAACAAAAACTCTTTGTTAATTAACTTCACTTCGTTCACTATGGTGTGAAAATCTGAGAATTAAAAATTCAAGGCCCCATTTCAATATCAAATTGAAGCACTAATGTCAGCTTAATCTAATCAGGTGGCCCCAATCCACTTCTCACAATATCAGCTCTTTCAAAGAGATTCCGCCTTCTTTCAGCATGGGGGTCACCAGCTCAGCCAGGTACAACCAGATATGTGGTATATCAATTGCCATATCATCTGCAAGCTCCAGAGTATCTGAAAACCTGGAGAGATAAATAGGATTCTCGTAAATCAGATCCCATGGCAAAGCATACTGCAGTTAGTCATCGAAAAGTAACTTAATTTCCAATACAAAAAAAAGCCTAATTAAAAGAAACCTGTAGTCATGAAAATAATCATTATTTCGGGACTATAAAATCCCTTTTCAGTAACAAAACGAAGTTTACTAAAGACTACTCACCTAGATTGCAGCGGCGGGACTCCTCTACTGCAGCTTCCTGCACAGCCTCCGGTGATGTCAGCATCCAACCAAGTTGACATCAACCACAATCTGCTCTAATTCATTGCTTCTCAATGAGATGGGTGTCAAATGCTGAACTCCAATCAAATTAGATTTTTACTGTCTGGAGCAGCAAGCACCTCTAGTGGTTGTCAGGAAGACAGACAGTAGAGGTGGATTTAACCCTCCAATGTAACCTGCATTGCAATATATATATATATATATATATATACTGCAATATTTTACACTGCACGGTTAAGAGGAGAGGGTCACTGTACCCAGACCACTTCAATGAGATGACGTGATCTGGGTGATTATAGTGTCCCTTTAACAGTATCATTCTGTGTTTTGGATTATTCTGACTGACAGCCAACCAGCAGAAAGTATACTCACCCTGTGAAGAAGTCTTGCTTGCTGAGTTTGCTAGACTGCACTAGCTGGTACAGGAGCTGTCCCATGTGATCACGGGTGATCTGACTCCTCTCTAGTGTGGACTCCACTCCCACTCTGACAAACACTGAAAGTGCACCAAGAGTTCGGAGCTCCTCCACACACTGCATGGCCTCCTGGGGTAATAGGAAAGACAAAGGATATATTGCATCAGCTAGGGTAAAATAATGTCACCCCCTCACAGCACTGAGTGAGCAGGAGACCATACCAGCCAATTCCATTCAGCACAAGATATAAAAGGATCTTCACATGCTAGCCATAACATCAACAGCTATTATTCCAAAACTGAAATCTAGACCCAAGTAGTTGTACAAAAACAACTCCCATTATGCAATGCCAACATTAAGGTCCCTCCCTTTTGGCCACAGCATGATTAAGATAGCGCCATCTATGACATAAAGAGTAGCCCAATTAATTAAACTGGGAGCTTATTCACACCTTATACTAAACCGAGGGATTGGTAAATTAGAACAGGCTGTTATCTGCATATCGCTTATGTGCCTTATGATTCAAGACCATAATAGTGGAGCAGGGGTGTGGAAATTTAAAAAAAAAAAAAAAAAAATCTACTTCTCCACAGTACTAAAATAAAAAAACAATCCACTTGTTCCTCATAACAAGCTACTTGTCATGACCCACAAAATAATTTTAACTAACAATACTGGGGCCCCAACCTAGAGCTTCTCTCCCTCTGTCGTTATTCAAAGTGTGCGCTTGCCTTGTGTAGTATGTCTGTGTGCACGTGCTGGCTGTTCTTAGTATGCATGTGCTTGCAGTGTGTAGTAATGTCTGTGTGGTGTACGCTGGCTGTGTTTAGTATGTGTGTCCTTGTAGTGTGTAGTATGTGCTGGCTGTGTTTAATGTGTAGGGGGTTTGTTGGTTTTGTGTAATGTATGTGTTTGGTTTGCACTGGCATAGTTACATTTTTTTTGTGTGTAATGTGCGCTGGTCGTCTTTAATGTGTGTGGGGGGGTTTGTTGGCTTTGTGTAATGTGGGGAATATAGATTGTGTTTAGTGTTTGTAAGGGTGCTCTGTGTTTTGCTCCCTTCCCTCTTCCTGCTTACCTGTATGGGGGGGAGAATTATTTTTTTTCTTTTTTAAAATCATAGCGCACTGTAACTTTGTATTTATTAAAAAGAGTGTTTGAATATTTACACTTTATAAGGTTGCGGCGAATGTGATATATATATATATTAACATATAATTTAAGCACCATTAAAGGACCACTATAGTGCCAGGAAAACATACTCGTTTCCTGGCACTATAGTGCCCTGAGGGTGCCCCCACCCTCAGGGTCCCCCTCCCGCCTGGCTCTGGAAGGGGGAAAGGGGTTAAAACTTACCTTTTTCCAGCGCTGGGCGGGGAGCTCTCCTCCTCCGATCCTCCTTCTCTCCTCCCCGTCGGCTGAATGCACACGCGCGGCAAGAGCTGCGCGCGCATTCAGTCGGTCACATAGGAAAGCATTTGTAATGCTTTCCTATGGACGCTGGCGTGCTCTCACTGTGAAAATCACAGTGAGAAGCACGCAAGCGCCTCTTGCGGCTGTCAATGAGACAGCCGCTAGAGGAAATAGGGGAAGGCTTAACCCATCATAAACATAGCAGTTTCTCTGAAACTGCTATGTTTATGAAAATATGGGTTAACCCTAGAAGGACCTGGCACCCAGACCACTTCATTAAGCTGAAGTGGTCTGGGTGCCTAGAGTGGTCCTTCAATTAACTTCAAATTTTATCAGTGAATACAGCCACTGGACCCACCAGAGGGGATACAGTGGGTTAATCACAAGTTCAACAAATCGAAAAAAACTTAATTGTGATTATATTAAATATATATTTTGTTTTTCTTTACAGACATTAAAGAAACACTCAATTGCCACAAATAAATCACTATTTAGTAGATATACTCCAAATTAAAGCATGCAGCATTTATTGATGCATTTTTCTTTAGAAGTATATCTAAAAGCAGCTTGCAAATGCTCCAGTCTTCCCCTTTTCCCCAGACACAGGCGTTCGGTTTGTGCCAGGGAATACATAAACCTCCCAGGTTTCTGCCCCAAATAATAAAAGTGCTGATTTCTATTGAAATCTGAACTTTTATAAACTGTCACAAATGTGACAGTCTGCAGACATGAAGCACTTTAGCAAGCTACAAGTGTAGAGTGTTCCTTTAATTGCTAGCATTAAAACAGATGAGAAAGTACTGAGTTTTGGCCCAATTATCTATACCAGCATCTGGATGTCGGACAGTTTTGTTTCACAATGTAAGAGATGGTTCAGACGAGCTAATCTTCTACTCATCACCAAATTTACAAATCTGAGGCAAGACCAGTATAGAGATTAATACATTTGGCAAAAGCATCTGGCTCACCTTATAGTCATTTATATGAAGAAACTCATCAATAATGGCTTTAGATTTTCTTTCCATCTCCTCCTCAGACAAAGATAACTTGTCGGGGTCCCGAGTCTCTGACTTCTCTGCTTCTGGAGATTCAGCCTTTCCTGCCAGGGTCAGATAGAGTCCAAGAGTAAGAAACCAAAGATTCATCTACATTCAGGAGAATTCAACAATACTATCTAGCACCTAATAAAAGGCCAGCAGCTGATGGAGTAACCAGGAGAAAAGGTATGGATTTGCTTCCTATAACATAGTTCTTTATTAAAAAAAAATTATTGGAGAGAATGGTTAACGGAATTGCCATTTCTAAATAAAAAAAAAAAATCCAAAGCTGGAAACATTGATATTTATTACAAAAATGAACAAGTCCACTGTTAAACGGTTTTATACTTAAAGGATCACTATAGTGTCTGGAAAAAAAAGTGGTTTTCCTGACACTATAGTGCCCCGAGGGAGCGCCCACCCTCAAGGTCCCCATCCGGTGGCACTGAAGGTTAAAACCCCTTCAGCAGCTTACCTTAAGCCAGCGCAGGGCTCCCTCGTCCGACGTCAGTGCATTCAAAGTCTCCATAGGAAAGCATTTCTCAATGCTTTCCTATGGACTCTCTGCGCGATGGAGGCGAAATATGCCTCCAGCGTCGCAGATGCGCCTCTAGTGGCTGTCCGGAACACAGCCACTAGAGGCTGAATTAACCCTAAATGTAAACATAGCAGTTTCTCTGAAACTGCTATGTTTGCATCTGAAGGGTTAAAACCTGGCACCCAGACAACTTCATTGAGCTGAAGTGGTGCGGGTGACTATAGTGTCCCATATGGTGATTAGCTTCCCCCATATAAAAAGCCAAAAATTATCTCACAGAGACCTTTGAGTTTGCGGTCCAGCCCTGTGGTTTTCTCCACCTCTGTGCTGCTCATCAATTGCTTCACCGTCTGCAGTGTCTCCCTGCGCAGCTCTTCCTGATTGTTTATCAGCTCTTTGCTACCACTGCCTCGGATAAAGCTGCTTGGCCGTGCAGCTGAAGAGACCGCAGTGGGGCCGGTAGGTTTATCATTCTTCTCACGGCTGGGGAAAAAAGATGACAATCACCAATTTCCTAACTGATCCTAGTAGATACTATAAAAATTGCTACCAGACACACCATGTTCACCACAGTATCTTAATGGACTCTACTAGGCTTGCCAAAAACATTATGAATATCATAACAGACTATACTAGACATTACTAGTACATTGAACTCTACACAGCGAGCAGAGAACAATACCAGTATTGTAACAGACTCTACTAAGATAAAAAGAACACTACCTTAAGGGACATTACTGGGCAGTGCTGTGTTTCTCATTAGGCAGCCCCTGTTTTAGCACTTATAAGACTTTTTGAAGCTTTAAATAGGTTACGAAACAGAGATAAGACCAGAGTCTGATGTAGTCCAGTCATTTAATAGAACTGCAGAAACAGCTATATAGGGTGTAAAAATCCGTCCTGTCCCAGCTCCTCTAGTGTCTGTGTGTGAGGCTGGTCTGAAAGCCGAAGAGATCATATCTTATCTGCCACAGGAAATGCCTTACAGGCAGAGCAGGATCAGCACTGAGTGATGCACACTGTATAACCATTCATGCAGCTCTAATAACAATCTTAGGAGACTGAAAGGTCTACAAAAGACATAGAAGGGCAAGTACTTTATAAATAACACTTCACATTCCACATGCCCTCCACATGCTCTAAACAACCCTTGCCCTAATCCTAAATTTAACCCCTCCCCAAACTTAAAGAAACTCATATTAGTCCCAAATTTAATTTCAACACTTAACACCCTATGTAAGCTAGTTCTGATGTTAGTCCTCTTTACCATAACCACTTCTAACATTATCTTTAACCCTGCATGCATTTGCAAAGCTGCATATACGCACTATACTCACAGATTCAAACAATACATTACCAGTAGAAACACACACAAACATTTATACATATGCAGTTGCCAAATTCTAATATAGGTTTTAAAATGTGTTTTTAGGCCTGCAATACAGCGTTAATAAATTCATTATAATTTATTTGCGTTTTTGGCTTGGGGAGCAGGTGGTGCTTTAGAATTTTGTACCCACAGGCACCAGACATGGGAATCCAGCTCTGCTACTGGGTTCAAGAACATTATCAGAACCTTAAGGGACACTACTAAACACATCAAGAAACATTATTACAAATTCTGCTAAGGGTGAAGGATATGGATAACCTCTCCTGTTTGAAAAAATCCCAGCTGTAAGATTTTGCATTGTGTTACAGTGTATTACCTTGCAAGAATCCTGCGCGGATCTTGTTCAGCACTTGTAGGAGATGAGGTTGGAGATGGAGATTGCTGAAGGGCAGAGAATCTGTTTAGTCCTGGGGCACCCGGTCTCAATGATTCTACCAGAGACAAATAAAACAAACAGGTTCTTAACATTATGTCTATGATGCTTTAACCCCTTAAGGACCAAACTTCTGGAATAAAAGGGAATCATGACATGTCACACATGTCATGTGTCCTTAAGGGGTTAAGTACAGAGGCAGAGTATTTAAATATAATGGCCAAAGTAAATAAAATGTTACAGTCTATCACCATGCCAGCATGGGAAGACAGGTTAAAGTGTTACATAACCACCAATGTATATGGAATGACTATGGTGCAAGGGTCCTTGGTTCCCATCAGCCAATGTATGATAGATGAAGCAATTTGGCTACAGCTATCGCCCTCACTCTGTGATGTCAAAGAGGGAAGCTATATTCCTCAGTGACCGCACAAGGACTTGTATGGAATGTGCAAGACTTAAAAAACCCACCTAGGGACTCTGTTTTCTAGGAAAACACCTTTACACCAGCTATGCCTAACTGGCTAATGCTGAAATGATACATTTCTGGTTTTTCATGAATACAGCTACACAAACACCTGCAGGCCGAATTGTGCCCTTAGCAATCTTACACCGAGGACCACTATAAACAGAGAAAGCATAGATTCTGAAAGGTTAGTGGTTATAGTTTGCTGATGACATAGTAAACACTTATTTTCTTACCTGTGTCGCTGGCTTTTGCACCTCCGCTGCTTCCCTTCCCCCAGCTACCAGGCTGAGCCTTTGGCACCAACTGAATCTTCTCGTCTATTGTGGGCTTGAAGGAGAAGACATGGTACAATTACATACAAGCACTGAGCCAACCTAAAAGGCGGACCCAGCATGCATTCTCACCCACAGCCAGGCACTTACAGTTAGTATGCTTCCTATTTCAGGAACAATTTACTGGCTAGCTGCAAAAATGTATATTTCGGTTAGTGGCTACAAAGAACGTCCGTCGTAAATATCTATCCTGACCCTGAACTAGCAAGCTATGAAGCAATATAGATGGTATGTGCAAAATATCTCACCCAAGCAATGGCAGGACAAACTTTAGACTGTGGGGGTTATGGTGAGGCTGCCCGTTTTAAGCAGAAAGCACTCCAGGTTCCACATTTTATTTAAAATTCTAAATTTCATTTGGCAACTGGAAAAACACAATATGGCAACAAATTTGCAGATCATTTGTCCTGCAGCTTCCTGTGAAATATCACACAATCTGGTGCCAAAAGCAGCCAAAAACTAAATTGCATTTCTTATTCCCCGTGGATAAATTTCTCATGGAATGTGAGTATGCGACCATCAAGTACAGCCACAGAATACAAGATCTCTCTTTCTCAAATCCCGGTGAGACCACCTTACCAGTAAGTGTCCCTGGGCAAAATACCCAACAATAAATATCTCCCAACCTCAAATCATCTCAGATTGTAAGCTCATTTGAGCAAGGTCTTCTTTATTTTTAAACTTCCCATTTCTATAACAGTAAATCACTGTGGAATATGTAGGTGCTATATAAATGCGAATGATGATGATGATAATGTCGCTTCTGTTGTGGTGTGAGAACACTCAATACTTGGCTTTAGTATTTGACAGGATCCTGCAGCCTTACACAGGCACCTTGGGTCAGACAGTGTTTGAATTCTGACAACATGATCTTCCCTGCTTTACTCTCTGCACAAAAGCACAGACCATAGACACTGCTGTCCGATCCATGTATATGACTGAAGGATCCACTCGTATACTAAAAGGTCTCTTTTTTTCATATACTTCTATATATTTTTCAACACGGTCTATAAGATTATATTAAAAAATTGTGTTGAGGTGACAGTTGTCCTTTAACACAGTCTCCTTTGTTACTTTTTGCTTGCTGGCTATTGTGCAGTTCCCGTGCCTCCCTTCCGCCTTATCTGCAATGCCCAATAAAACAGAGGCACATATCATTGCAAGCACAGCAAAGCATTCAGGGAGCTGGAGTCCAAACAGCACCTTTTGTAACAAAATATAAGAAACTGATAAGTGAACTACAACTTCCAGAAACACCTGCCATTCCAAAAGAGCCTTGCTGTGAAGGAATTTGTGGGATACATTTAGCACTCTGAAAAGACTCACAAAAAACAAATACATTTTCTGTCACAGTTTTTGCAGTGTATGTAAAGCCCGGGAAACCATGTGAGTAACTTTATAATACCGTGATGGTCTATACAACACATTACAAATAACGGGTCAGTTCCAGCCTTTAAACTTACCTTTGTGATTTTTAAGAACTTGGAAGGGTCTATGACACGATTATTCTTTGCTCCCTGAACTGTATTCCATCCTCCTTCGTCTACTCTTTGAACCCCTGCTGGGGACAAGCATAGCCTGTGAACACAGCAGCCTCCTTACTGGATATGTCTCAGGCTGCAATTACGTGGTTGGGAGATGGTAATTGGAGAGGCGGTTCTCACCTGGTCTCCGTTTATCTTTGGTCATTAGCTGTTGGACTTTCCTCTGCTCCTCCTGTTCTTCGATCTTGGCCTCTTTGTGAATTTGCTCGATGGTTTTGGGCCCCTGGTCTGCTCTTCGTGACACCCAGTTGCACTGTGAATCACATAGAATACACTGCAAATCACTCGTCAAAACAAAACGGCTCTTATCGAAATCACCATTCCCAAATGTCAGTTTCACAATTTTACGTACAAATGAAGGATCATTCAGTTTATTAACTTGCAGCATTCCCCTCTGGATTGATGCCCTAATCAGCACCCTTGTAGGTATTTACCCATGTCTATTCTCAATGCACTTTACTATAGCCAGCATTAGCGTCTGGATTTTATTTTATTTCTACCTATAACCATCTTTGCATTCATTTCCAATTTGGATGGTATATTTCTCCTTTCTGCAGTTGTAAAGCCGGGGTGTTATCAGGTATTTGTCCAGTACAGTTTAGACTCTGTATATGTATCGGTTATGCATGTATTACATTACTGATATCTCTAATCATTTAATCAAGTAGATGATTTGTGACTTTAATCCCTATTATGATGTCCCAGGTCATTATTTTCCATTTTACTCCTTTTGTCTCTGTTTCTACATTCATCACAGGGATTACACCCCTGCTGTTTTTGGCAACCTATAATCATTCTTTTTATCTAGCTTTTTGTTTATAATTAGTATAGGGAACATACCAATCGAAGGTCGATTACATCCTGCAGCATAAAACGGATTCTGGAAGAAGTCTTTCTTTCTTTCACAATCTTCTCCATCTGGTGAAAGTACTGATCCATGCGTGGCTGTAAAACACACCGACTTATGAAGCTCACCATCGATACTTGCATGCATTCTATAAATACATAACAAGCTGTTTTTAAACACTCACCTTGGCCTTCTCAAAATCCAGATCCTTGCCAATGGTGGTGAGCAGCCGGCAAAGGCACTCCAGAGATTCTTCATCATGATTTTTGAGTAATTTCACAACACAATCGTGCATGATGGCTTCTGTCAACATCTTCAGCTTGAAGAGTTCCCCAATGAACTTTATGTTCCCGATCGATCTTCGGCGAGCTTTGTCCTTGGCTTCCTCTAACTCATCCTGAAGCTTAGTCTTCTCCTCTGGCTGTGGACAAGACAGAAATGTTAGAAAGCTGAAGTACTACTAGAGAAGGCATCCCAAATTATATGTTTGCTCAATAAGATCATGACATCAATAGCAGCGTCGAGTTTGTATTACTGGATAGTGACAACTAACAGGCATGTATTCCCTCCAAAAGTAGGAAAACAAAAATAAAATATATAGATATTAGCTTTATTTATAATGAAGTAGACAGTTGACAGCTCCTCATGCATTGCCTCTCTTTACCGTTTTAGCCAATTCAAGCTCTTTTTGCTTTTTCTCAAAAACATCGTCGTCTGCTTTATCCTTCTCAAATTCTTTCTGACAACGGTTCAGCAGAATCTTTCGGAAATTCACCGAGCTTCCAGGCTTGTCTGCCATCGGCACTTTAAGCTGTGAACAGAGTAGTAATAATCAGGTAAAATCACTGTAAGTTGCCAAAAAAAAAAACCTGCTGCTACAAAACATCCTCTGCAAGACCAAGTAGGAAGCAATTCTACCATAGAACTTAAATAAATAATACAACAAATTTAAAAAAAATGTACAGAAATGATTTTGAAGGCTAAATATATAAAAGATGTGCCCAAGAAACTGTAAATCCTGTTAATTCTGCATGCTTTTTGACAAAAGTATAAAATGTACTATGGGTTATTGAAAGGGGAAGAAGGAATTTATGTTTAGGATGGGGGGAGGCGGGGGAGACTCTGCAACCAGGTTGGACCTTTAGTAAACAGAATGCACATTACCCAACCATCCTTTCTATATATTAGATAGTACTTGGAGCACTGGAATAAAATTCATCACCTTAAAACTCCATAGTTAACGAAACCCATTTAAATAGACATCCCCTTTCGTCCTTACTGTAGCAAGGCATCTGCACATGTTGGCATACGCCACCGAGAAGCTTGGTTCATCAATTGCTTTCTCGAAAACAAGATCAATGACACCCTTGAGCCGTTCCTCTGTGTCCACAGTCAGATCTGTCACTTGTTTCATTAACTGGTGGAACATTTGAGGCGTCAGCTTGTTGAGGATGCTTCGGACCTTACGGAAGAGAGCCTGGTGAAAGAAGGGAAGAGATCAATTGTGTCCAGTTCAAGAAGTATTAATTCAGAATCCATTAAGATGGCAATGATTTTTAAAACACATTCTGTGCACAGATTATCAATATTATTAATATTCAAATAATTTGAAATTGAAATGCCCATAAAACACATGCCTGCGTCCTGATGTTTTCTGGGTCTTCAGCCATACCATCCCTCTTCACACTGGGTTTCCATGCATTTTCTGATTTCTTCAAGTGGACGTCATCTGTTACAGAAATGTTCATGATAATCTTCCTAGGTCCCCCCCTTTGGCCTGGCTGTGAACGTCTAGGACCCACATTCAGTAACTGCAGGGACAAGAAAGGGAGGGGTTCATAAGGAAAGAGAACAGAGACAGTCAGGTTGAGAAATCTCCTCCAGATGTGAGCACACAGTTATTTGTTGATTACTAACCATTCCATACTTACAGGAACACCACCACGGCCTCCTGGAGCTGGCCTTCCAAAATCCGCATAGGCAGGGGTGAAGTCAGGGCCCCTCGGCAACATTCGTGTGTCCAAGGTCCTTAGGGGTATTTTTGGCTGATTGATCTGTATGTAAAATAATACTTTGTTTTAAGGTCTTGAAACGTTTACAATTTGATGGGAAAGTCTACCCTGATAAACATGCCTCAGGTAATATAGAATGGAGAATCAACAAACAAGAAGATCAAAATGTAAACACTGTAAAACAATGTAAAGTCAACAAAAAAGCTCATGTAAAAGCCAACTTCTCTAAACTGAACAAATTAACTCTACATTAATTGAAATAACATTAACTCTACCAATATTCTCTACACTTTTTACATCATCCCAAGACGTTTTGCTAATCCAATGATGTTCAGAATGTTGCATTGCACCACACCCCCTTACACTGTAACTTAAAAGGTTACTGCAAGCCCCATGGCCACTTCAGTGTTTTGAAGGAGTCACGGTGTCTGGAGTCTCTATGTGCAGCATTTCAATACGAAACACTGCACATACAGAAATATTTAGAATAGCAGCTGGAAGTATAAGGCCACTGCCAGCAGCGTCATTAGCCAGCCCGGAACAAGGGTTCTAGGTTGACTAATATCAATTATGTGCATATTTCTCTGCAAAGTCACTCATTCATTAGATAAGTGCCCAACTGACACGTTCAGCCAATGAATGAGCATCAGGATCAGCAACTTCACACAGAGCACTTCAGCAAGGTAAATATTGCTAAAACTGGACAATTGTCTATTGGTAATTTTTCTAAGCAGCAATAAAAATTAAATTTGCAAAAAAAGTCTTCCTTTTTAAACTGTTCAGAAATGTGACATTAAAGGACCACTATGGGCACCCAGACAACTTCAGCCTATAGTGGTGGTCTGGGTGACAGGTCCATCTAGGGTTAACCCTGCAGCTGTAAACATAGCAGTTTCAGAGAAACTGCTATGTTTACATTAGGGTTAATCCAGCCTCATCCCACACAAGATCACACCAAGACACCTCCCTCTCTTCTCACTTTGTCCAGGACCACGTCGCTGATGGGTGGCAAGCCTTCTGGTTTCAAGATGCAGGCTGGCATGTACTGGAACCCCAGCAGGAAGTCTCTGTCATACTGTCTCTTCCCCTCGGGCTGCTCGCTGGGAGCTGGCAACGGGGAAGGATCCATGACACTTTCTGCAGGCTTTTCTGTTGGCCCTCCTCCTACACAAAGGAAAGTTAGGACCAATAAGTACACATATATCCCTTACGCAGAAGGGCAGTAATGAAATTGACAGATTTCAAATTCCCCTTCAATACCAACAGGTGTTCGGGCTATTACGATGACAAAGAATTTAATTGGCTTGAAGGTGGACTTCTCATGGGGCGAGTCTGTTGCAACACTATTGGGCCAAACTTCAACTAGCAAGACATCATTGCCAGCCATGACTTAATTAACCTGAATAAGCTTTGAGGAGTTTTACATTTTCACTCTATTCTTGAGCCCCCTATGACATTCCAAGTTCCACCCCCTTTATTCCTTGAACCCTCCCTCTTATTCCTTACACTCATTATACTTATGAGATATACGTATTACTAACAGACATATTACAATGAATCCTGCAATACTCCTGTTACTTTCTACATCTAATAAAACTGCTTTATATAGGGGAAGGGGAGTTATGCTAGTAACAATGTAAATGGCAGATTAACATTAACAAATGCTATATTTTTTCAGTAAGTAAAAAGGTGGACTTGGATATAAATGTTGAAATAGGCCGTAATAATTTTTTTTTTATAAAAAAAGAAACCTAACTGAATAAACTGGTGTTGAGTGAGAGCCACTAAGAACAGGCAAAATAACTGACAATTAGGAAACTATTCTACGTGATCTAGTCCTCCCAGAGTAAGGTAATAAGGCAGATTACAATACCGTGTGTTTTTACCATACCAGGCTGTTAGCCTGACTGGCTGCAACACCTCAAAAGTCCCTAAACGCAGTATACCAAGTGAAACACTACCTGATTTATATGGGAATACCACACCGTCCTCTGCTACTGGTGGAACATCTACATCTTCGCACGCCAAACCGGCATCGGTTCCATTTCGCACAGGCTCTGCCTCTCCATTTTCCTCTAGTGGTTTGGTACTGGTAATAAAGGGGCATTCTGTGGCTGCACCGTTACCCGTGATCTGGTCCTGCTCCACTTCCAAAGGTTTCTCTTCCTCAGTGTCCTCGTCTTGAGGCTGCAGCACAAATCACAGAGCTGGCAATAAGTATTGGTCTGTTAAACAAACGCTATGCTAACAGAAGACATGTGTAACTAACAATCCTCCTATCGCTAGGAGGCTGCTCTGATAGCTCACATAATAACAGAGCATACAATATGATCATACGGTCATTTAACTAACGTAGAAGTTACAGGGAAGCTCTGTCAAAAACATGACCATGATATGACTGTAGAAGAGGTGTCCCTCGAAGGGGGTATGCCTCACAGCTCGTACTTGCCTCTTCCTCTGGCTGCGACATTGCCTCGATGTCTGGGCTGCCATCTTTTGGTTTCTGCCACAACTTTGGTGCAGTTGCCACTGTGTGGACTACAAAAATGCAATGTGTTACTCATAAGGCAGTCATACCTTGCTCTCAAGCCAGCTCTCTAAACCTATAAATATATTTTAGCCTCACATTAGCAATTCTCAGATTAGTGAATAAATCTAAATCTGTATGTACACATCTAAAACTCCCGAATAGCAGCTATCAGTGGGACGCATTACCTACTAACCTGGCTACAAAATGGAAGTGCTGAACTATTTTGGACAAGCTGAAATTAGGAGGAGGACACGGATTGAGGCTGTCCCCAAGGATATACAATACAACCATGTCAATTTAGGAAGAAATTACATTTTCAGGTACACAGAATACTCTACTGGAACAAAAAAATATTTTAAAGTGTGTCAATCTTTTAGTAAAATAGTATGTACATGGTTTTAGACTATACAGCAGCACTCATGTAGCAGTTTTTCATTAAAGGTCTTCAATATTTCCACAGAAGCAGAAATAACACATTACAGTAGGTGTGACAAAAAAGAAATTATAAAATTAAACCGCCAAATAGCCAACTTATGGGTACTTGTCAGGAACAAGGGCTTTCAGTGAATCCAACTAGATGCAATGTAAGCAGAACGTAGAAATAAATACTGTGTGTGGAGTAGTTACCTGGCTATCACCAAGCATCTATATTAAACAAGACATTGCAGGCTCACATTGTAGCCATCACAGAGGGCCTTTAGGGGGCGCACCCCAACTCAGACTTCTAGAATACGGTGACCAAAGGTGTCTGTGAGGTATAAGATTTGCTTTGCGTTGCTGTACAATAAAAACCAAAACAAAATGACCTCCTGCTTACACAGGGTTGAAAGAAAAGGGTTTAAATTAGTATTCAAGTGTTGGGCCTCAAAAAAAATAAAATAAATAAATAACAAGCAGCACATTATTGCCATCCTTCATTCAACACACAATTACATGGTAATTTCATGGTGTGAGTCAACCTCAATGATGGAACTAATCTGCGATCAGAAGATGGGACATGGACACGGTGCTCCCTATTTAAACTGTACTCTGCCAAATGTACTCCAAAATGAGTGATCAAAGAATCTATGCAGCACAATAGCATATTTGCCTGTACAAATTTATTAAATACACAAATGTACATGAAATACGACAGAGCCATTGGAAGCATAATTTGGGCAGGTGAACAGGACAGGTGTACAGGTGGGTATGAACCTACAGGGAGTAGTAAAGGGGATTGGATGTTCTAGTGGACATGGAGGCTAAAGCTGAACAGCGCAAATCATGGACGTCTACAAGGTTAGCGGAACAGTATCATTCACAGGCATCTGCAGTGCCAAATTTAAAGGGACACTAAGAACCAAACCAATCTGAAGCAGTTTTGGTGTATAGATCATGCCCCTGCAGTCTCACTGCTAAATTCTCTGACTTTTAGGAGTTTAATCACTTTGTGAACATTATTGTTCACACTCTTTTAACCATTATTGGTGTGAACACTACAGAAAATCACTAGTTTTTGTCATATCCCAATTAAGGACAAAAGACATGTCAGGGGTGACACCATAACAAATGAATGGCGTAAACATAGAGCTTAAATAATTATGTCCCAAAACAAATACAATTATTTCCAACACTTCAACAGTAACTATGCATAATTAAAAACACAGAAGTGTTTATTCACTAAACAGTGTCTATTGATGAACTGAAAACACCTGTAAAACTGAAATAGCTACATTGGAAAAATTCTCTAATCACCCCGTTTTGCCAATTTTTTGACCACATTTTTCAATTTTAAAATGTATTGCAATTTACTGGATAGTAAATAAACTGAAATGCGTAACCGCTCCCATGACGATATAATAAATCACTACCAGCAACACATGGGAACCTGAAAAGAGATTGGCAAACAAGTCCTGCTACATGTGCTTACATTAGCGGCTTCTTTTGAAGCCGCGAACATTTCTAATGACTGCAACCTTGAGACTTGTTAACGGCAGTGGACACAGCGTTCACCTACCTTCCACAGGACTTTTCCTTGAGGTGACAGTTAGAAGTTGGACATTGTGCTCCAGTTCAGACTCTGCTTCCAATCTTCCTTTGTTCGTTAAGTCACCTGCACCATCTACAATGGAAGTTCTTACCTCCTCCTGTTCCTCCAGATGTCCCTGACTGGGAGGTGGAAGAATTGTTGCAGGTGGAGAGTATTTAGTGGTACAGAGAGCAGCAGGAGCTATAAGAGGAGGTGGAGGAGACTCGGGCTGTGAGGACACTGACAAAGCTTGGGATGAAAGAGGCACATTTGAAGAGGAAGTGCATTCAACGTCTGTGTCTGAGGGTGAGGATGGCACCAACTCTGGCACTTCTGGCACGACCACGTCACCCAACAGTACTTTTTCCCCAGGTGTATTGTCTAAGGTGGTTTTTTCATAGTTTATTCCATTTATTTCCTGAGCAATCACTAGGACCTCCGTGGGTATCGGAAGCCCAAGAGGATCCTTGCATAGCTCATCCTCCATCTCATCTGCTGCTGCTTCCTCTGGGAGGATTTCAGTAGCTGGAGGAGACTCATCACCCTCGCTAGTGTCCTCCAGGTGGCAGGTAAAGGCCGGAACGGTGGGTACGGCAAGTGGAGTTGTTGCTACAAGCGGCAATAGACTAGTTGTCTGTGGGCGTTCAGGGCTAGTGTCCAAAGGGACTGTATCAGAGTCAATACTTTTCTCCATTGCGCTAGATTCTGCTTGTAGGCAAGGAGGAGGAGATGATTTTAACACAAGATCTTGTTTTGGCTTCTCCTCTAAAAGTTTAGAAAACGAAATGAAATCAGATGCTATGGGCACAACAGCAATAGAGACATTCTAAATGTAGCTTTGAGTTTTCACCTAAAGAAGAGAGGTAGAAATGGACAGAAAATGGTACTAAAAGTCTGACCTGTAAATGTCACTGGAACAGATTGGCAAGGACTATAAATATTTCTCTCATTTAGTACTCATTGATACTAGAATGCTCAGGGAACACGGAGTCAGGCAGCAATGGTCAATGAAGGACAGGTGAAAGGTTTATGTGGCAATAGGTAAATACATGGAAGGCAGCAGGATATCAGGAAGCAGAGAGGGCCCCTGCGCGGCAGCTCATCAGGGAGCAGAGAGGGCCCCTGCGCGGCAGCTCATCAGGGAGCAGAGAGGGCCCCTGCGCGGCAGCTCATCAGGGAGCAGAGAGGATGCCTTTCGTGGTGGCAGGCTGGGCTAGGGAGCTGACTGCACTACTTTCAGATTTTTATTTATTTTATTTTTTAACTTCGGCTTCCACCCCACCTCCCAAAGCGCAGCTCTAACAATGGAAATGCGGTTCACTCTGAAAAGCCTATGCAACTTCGCTGGCAACACAGGCCCCTAGTCTGCCACAAAACGTCATAAGATCATAATTTAAAACATTGTCTGTGCCTCTGAGTGACACTGTGGACAGCATGGCTCAGCAAACCAGACTTCCAGTTCATGCTTGCCTGCCTATTCATTTGTAACTAGGATACCATTCCACAACAAAGCAGGACACCCCAGTATTGTGAAAACCAGAATCATATGGAGAATATTCAAATCAACCACCATGCTTAACCAGTTAAAGATATCCCTGGTTCTGGTTCCAAAACATTCAAATTGTGATATTTAGCAAAGAACATAATGAATGTCTAATACGATGGTGAGGGGTACTGACCTGATTTGGGATGAATGGCAGCAATGGCGGGAATGCTGGCAGTAAGATGTGGGCTTTCCATTGTCCCAAACACCCCTGTGCTGTGCTCAGGAGCCTGGCTAGGCAGCTGCTGGGATTTGAAGTACAAAAGAGGGTGATAATGAGCGCGCGAACAGAAAAACTGGCAAAAAAAGGGCAACAAAATGCAGGAAAAAGGCAGCATTGGAAAAGCAAGAGAGAGGGAAGGCAATGTTGGAATATTGGGAGGGGGAAGTGAAGCATAAATCAAAGCAAATTAAAGATATTGGTCAATTTTAAAAATTTGAGGTGGGAAAAAGGCGAAAGGGAAAAAATAAATAAATAAATAAATAAAAGAAGACAGGAAAAGGAAAAAAGCAGACATTAAAACCCATAATAAGACAATATCCCTCAAACTCTCCCTCCTTCAGAGGTTCAAATAAAATACAAACTGGGGATTAATGCATGCGGCGTTTCATGGAATATATGCGTTTATTTCTAGCTGGCAAAATGGTTTGCTAACAGTAGGTCTGAAATAAAGGAAAACAAAACTTTGATGAAAGAAAATACCCAGAATTCCAAGGGATATAACACTCAAAACTCCCAAAGTGTACTAGCTGGGAACAAGTCACATCTAATACACTGAAACCGAAATACAACACAGACCTAAACTCGGAAGAAACACACCGAATCAGCAAAGAAATAAGAAGTGATTTAAGTTGCCATAAAACGGGAGTGGAGGACGATAAACAGGTACTAGTCCTTGGGATAATCATAAAAAACATGAATTCTCAGCTGTGACACACACACTATATGATCTATCTACAAATACAAGAATTACATTTAAGAGATACTAAGTAAGTTGCATACTGCAAATTCCCTGCTGTAAAACCGTTAAACACATAAACAGAGTTTACCAAGTAAGAAATAAAGTGAATATGCTATCTTGAAGTAAAAGAATTGTGACAGGCACTAAGTGACCAGTATTACACATTTAAAGGATAACCGTATGGTCAGAGATCACTGGCAGGATACAGTGAGCAAGCTGCCATGCAGAGGAAGTTTTCGTGGTAAGAGAATATTACAGATACAGTTCACGGTAAGATGAGCTGTGGGGAGGGTGTGACTTACCTGAGGTGGTGTTGGTGTAGAGCTGGGTCGGAGAATGGGAGGTGTGGGGTTCCGGCTACCCCCAGACATTATTTCCTCTGTTATGTCTTTGCCGCCCTGATTGGGGTCTCTTATTCGGATCTGGAAGTGCAGAGGGACACAGTGTGATGAACTCACAGGTAGACATAATATTTAAGCATTCTTTACTGCAATTTATAAAGCAGTCTGATCCACTCGTAATATGCTGCCTCCACCCTGATTGCTCACATTATTTTATGGGTACGTCTCTCTATAAAGAATGGCATTGACTGAGCAAGTCAAAGCTTTAAATCTAGAATTTAAAATGCTTTACCGTCTTCTTCTCTCTCTTGGCCGGAGGAGGTGGCTGTTGCTGCTGCTGTGTAGGCACTATGATTGGTGCGGACTGGTACACGGGCTGGCTTGGGTAGAATGGCGTGCCTGAAAAGGAAAGTCAGGTTTATTAAAAAGCTGCATTCTATTCACACTAAAATATGGCTGAGCCTAGTCATCAGTGACCCGCTCATCTAAAATTTCAGTAGGATAACGGATATGTTTAATTTAGCAGTGCAAAAATGATATACACCAGGTTATCCCATCACCCTAAACGATTGGCCCCATCACACCAATATGCTACATAGACCACTGCTATAACAAACACTACCCAAATATTAATGTTGGCCAATCCCATCAGAAGAGAATACCGCTAGTGGTGAATCCCCTTACTATTGTATTCCCATGCTCCTACAGCAATTTAAGGATTGATATGATTAAAAACGGAGGAATATAAACGGACTACACATGCTAAAGAGTCACTGGAAGCAAATCAGGACTGCCCACACCTTCTGTGCAGGTAAAGTGATTTTGGGTTAATTCGAGCTATTTATTTGTGTTTGGTGAATGACACTCAGGGGGCTTTTTTCCGGGCTTGCAGGTAAGTTTCAGCAGTTCTGATGGTAGCAGAGGGAGCCTGCACTGCAGATTATCCTAGCTGTGCTGGCTCAGCACAAACAGCCAGTCCAGCCGATACAGAAAAAGAAGTGAAAAGGACCAGCCTGCTCCCTGCAAGCCAGGGCTTCTCTCTGCTCTGATGAATACATGGATTAACTTGCTGCATAGCAGCAGTATTTTAAATTTGGAAATGTAAGCATTGTGTACATTTTCTAATGACAAACATTTCTTTTAAATAATATCCACTGATACATTTGTACTGTAACACAATTGTAACTAAAAGAGTAATAAAAAAAAAACCCACAATACAGGCTGCACTATAAATTTATTTTAACAGTTAGTCTTTCCTCTGGTTATTTAAAGGGTTACTCCAAGCAAAATGCCTGTATGTCTGTATGTGCAGCATTTTGCTATGAGATGCGGAACATACAGAGTTTAACTTCTCCGCTGCCTGGGGTGTAACGCCAGCTGCTGCTGTGTCATTAGCCAGCCCAGAACAAGAGTTAAAGGCTGACTAGCGTAAATTCTGTGTAATTGGGGCGCTTGACACCATGACGCACAGCATGTTAGCGCTAGAAGCAAATGGCGACATTCACCAACTCCCTGTGCCACCTATGACCCTCCCCTCAGCCTGCCCTCCCTAACATCAGTCCCCATCCGGTGATTCATTTTATTGCATTACAGAGACAAAGCACACACAATGCATTCAAAAATCCAAACATTTTGCATCACTCAACATCTGCTTTCGAAGCCTGGAGTGTCCCATGAAGGAAGCCAGGAAATGTTTGGCAAAGAGTGTTTGTGTTTTCCAGGGTACATACTATTTTCACCTCCCCCTCTCACACGAGTCAGGAGAGCCATTCTGCTGTCACTGGTCCCAAATGGAGACAGGAGATCTAGTAAATCAGGCATAAGTGAAAACTAGTGTCTGAAAGAGCAGTAAAATCGCCAAGCGCTCTCCAGGAGAAACAAACAGTTTACTATGGAAACACACACTATCTTCTAAAATATTCCAAAAAATAATAGCGAGCCAACAAGTGTAAGTATGTTAACATTCAAATAGTATATGCAGATTATGCCTCTGATTATTCTGCAGAGATCAGCAGAGAGTAGCATATACGCACTGAAGTACTAATATGGCGCACATGTTATGACATCACACAAGATGGCAACACTACATGGTACATTTCTGATTTCTAAACAATGGCACTTTACAAATGTGTATTGACAAAAAGGTCTCAGTGATCCTTTATTAATTACATTAATTTAACTGACATACTCATTTGAAATAATGTTATATAAAATGTAAAAATTATAGTACTAGTTTAATGGCCTCTGATATGCAAATGATTTAATTAATAAGAACATTTAGTAATAAAATGGTTAAGTATGTTTGGAATATCTCAAACACATAAGGCCAATCGTCCCATCCACAGAGCAGCCATGGAGGGGCAGTTGCTTAGAGAACCAAATACACCAGACTAAATATGTCAAACTAGGGGCTTCTTTTCATGAGGAGACAGCTCTGCCCATGAGATGTCCTTACCATAGGGGTTGGTGAACTCCCCAGGGCCAGGACCCGGATAGAAAGGACTGGGGCCAGGCGGCTGTACTGGATACTGCTGAGGGGGTCCCACGTACGGTGGAGCACTATGTCGATACTAGGAGAAAAAGAGCAAAAAATGATAACCAGACACCCTGCGAGGATTAATTTACACTTTATCGCAAGACAGAGGTGTGCACCTCTTTGGAAAGTAAGGCATACTTCACCCATATAGTCCTCAAGGGGTTAATTAATGTGAGTGGTCTGTGTCCCCATAGAGTCCAGTTCCCAAACTGTGCAAGGCTGTCTAAACCCAGGGTTATGTCCAGAGACACGCTCAGCTTTTACACTGCTTATTTGTGCACAAATCAAAAGAGTTAAGTCTGGCAGGAGAACTTGGTCTGGACAGACTTGGTTTAAACAAGCCTCTTAAACTCGAGATATTTTAGAAACTCATACTGCAGTCACAGACCTAATATCAGATCATGATATATAGATTACCTGAGGAATACAGTACTGTGGCCCTTGTGGCATTGCATATGGCATAGGAAGATGGTTGACCATCATGATGGGCTGGTTGGTTTGGTAAACCGCTGTTGCAGTCTGGGCACCGGGTCGTATGGAAGGGTTGTTATTCTGAATGGCTGTGCGTGGAGGCTGTATCTGTGGCCTCTGGAAAAACTGAACACAAAACAGAAAAAACAGCCAGTCAAATACATTAAAAAGTGCAGAGCAGGCTATCAAGACCCCACTTTTAGTCTGTACTAGCCCCCAATCTTGTGGAACATAATATAAGACAATATGTGGATGTACAGGGAATGCAGACACTTCTTTGTGATTTCCTAGTTAGCCTATTTGAGGTATAAAACTAAAATCCACATACTCTCCTAAAAAATTGAGACTTTCAGCACCATTAGTATACTCTCCAGTACTAATGGGGCCAGCACTATACTCTTGAGTACTAATGTGGAGAGCACTATACTCTAGAGTAATAATAGGGACATCCGTATACTTTCCAGGAATAATGGGACCATCAGCATACTCTCCAGTGATAATTGATCCATTACTATACTCTCCAGTAATAATGGGACCATCAGTATACTCTCCAGGAATAATGGGACCATCAGTATACTCTCCAAGAATAATGGGACCATCAGTATACTCTCCAAGAATAATGGGACCATCAGTATACTCTCCAGGAATAATGGGACCATCGGTATACTCCCCAGGAATAATGGGACCATCGGTATACTCTCCAGGAATAATGGGACCATCGGTATACTCTCCAGGAATAATGGGACCATCGGTATACTCTCCAGGAATAATGGGACCATCAGTATACTCTCCAGGAATAATGGGACCATCGGTATACTCTCCAGTAATAATGGGACCATCGGTATACTCTCCAGTAATAATGGGACCATCGGTATACTCTCCAGTAATAATGGATCCATCGGTATACATTCCAGTAATAATGGATCCATCGGTATACATTCCAGTAATAATGGATCCATCGGTATACACTCCAGTAATAATGGATCCATCGGTATACTCTCCAGTAATAATGGATCCATCGGTATACTCTCCAGTAATAATGGATCCATCGGTATACTCTCCAGTAATAATGGATCCATCGGTATACTCTCCAGTAATAATGGATCCATCGGTATACACTCCAGTAATAATGGATCCATCGGTATACACTCCAGTAATAATGGATCCATCGGTATACACTCCAGTAATAATGGATCCATCGGTATACTCTCCAGTAATAATGGATCCATCGGTATACTCTCCAGTAATAATGGATCCATCGGTATACACTCCAGTAATAATGGATCCATCGGTATACTCTCCAGTAATAATGGATCCATCGGTATACTCTCCAGTAATAATGGATCCATCGGTATACTCTCCAGTAATAATGGATCCATCGGTATACTCTACAGTAATATTGGAACCATAAGTATACTCTCCAGTGATAATGGATCCATTGGTATACTCTACAGTAACAATGGTGTTATCAGTATACTCTAATAATGGGGATCTTTTGGTCTCAGCGAGCTCAGGCTTTTATAGAGCCCATGTCTTCACCAAATGACAGAGCAACTTGTTTAAGTATTATGCTCCTTGTGGTACCTCTGTGGTGTCTGAAGAGACACTATAAGAATATATGTGCATGTATATCTAAGGGTATTTACTGCCCTTCACTGCAGTTTCATTTAAAAGCAGTGAGAGTAAGTTATCTGCAGTACTCAGTGAACACAAGGTTTTAATAAAGTGACAACCAACAGGTGTAACAAAGAGTCAGATGATAAAACACATTTTATATAAATATAGCATGTTTAGCATTAGTCATTAAAACTATTTATAAATCAAGAAAGCTGCTTCATTGGTCCATATTGTCCAACCTGTTCCTAGGAGTTAAAACAACTTCACATTCTCACCATCTCCTAAATCGAAAGGTGTTGCCAATAATGGCTCTACTCAGCCTGAACACAACTTGCCTCCCTCACTGGCCCCACAACAACAACAAAAAAAAACACACACATCATGTCCCCAAATAGTTATTATGTCAAACTATAACAAAGGATGTCACAATTATACTCATTTTAGGAGTTCAGTGTCATTTACCTGGATGGGTCTGAATCCTCCCTTGGAAAAAGAATCAGAGGGAAAACCAATGGAAGAGTATACAAAGATCAGTAGGAGAGACAAGACAAAACAACTCATACACATGAACAAGACAAACCATCCCCATCCCACCCAGTTCTCAGCATAGTAAATCTCCCTCTGATAGATAGATTTCATCCAAATAGACTGTTTCCCTTCTTAAACAATATGGTCACATCATCAAAAAAATAAAAACACAACAGGAAGGGAACATCCTTGTAACTTAGAGGTGAAAGAAGTGTCAGATAATGCCTCTTTATTGTGTATATAGCTATATGTTTCCTGAATGCTACTAATTGTGAAATTGGCCAACTAAAACCTTCATCTGTCAAAATATTAATCCTGGCTGGAGTGAGTGATCGTAAAAATCTCAGAGGGATCATAATGGAGTTAAAAATGGAACCAAACTTATGCATCTCTTCTGTGCGAATAAAGGTTTCTGTAGCTTGCAGACCCTAGACAGAACATAATTATGCAGGTGATTTTCAGGAAGCTGGGGAAGCTCCCTGTGCACGACATGTTAAAACACAGGAAGTGACATGAATAACAAAAAGGCTGTCCCCAAGCTTCCTCGAATAAAACAAAAATTGTTACTTGAAAATACTTTGGTGAAATTCTCTCAAAATACTAAGTTCTGCATTAGCTGTGACTTCCCTGGGTCACTGAAAGTTCCTTTTAGACATTATATATATATATACATATATATATATATATATAAATAAAACAATCTATATATAAAACATATCTATCTCCGATAATCTCTCTATTCCAAGAGCATAAATACACTGCTTTATGAAGGGCTTGATATTAAATGATGCACCTTATATGTGACATGTAGAAAGAGAGACAGAATAAAACACAGGCACCGGTGGACAGACAGCAGGGGACACTTTCTGTATAGCGAGAATGGTCTCAGATATGGACAGACATCCGACAGATTTCAAGTCAGGCTTCCTAATGACACAGATTGACTAGTGGGCTACCTAGTCACATTACCAAGCAGCTCTAGTTTGTGGTGGCTTGAGAGGACCTTTAAAAAAAGAACAAAATACATAACTTCTCGCAATATCTAACCTCACTAATCTCTTCCACTAGTTGTTCTCTATTCCGTTCCCTCTTTTGGACTCTTCTCACATCACTGTACCATCCTCACCCATGTGTCCCCCAGCCAGTATGTCTAATACCCTCTCTCTGCCTAGTCTCTCATCCGTCATACCAGATCAGTCTATTTCCTTAGATCTTCGACTCTGTCCTTTTCTACCATTCTTTTTGCCCTGTGATCTCAGCTGGTACCCCCAATCTGCTGCCACTCCAGATTGGTATCCTGAGCTAGCTTAGAACCTGGGCAATCTCAAGAGAAATGACTGTCTACTAGCAAAGAGGAGATAATACAAAAATGTGCACTGTCCCAATACCGAATCAACAATTCCAAAATCAAAAATCTGTACAGACGCTTCAAATGCTTGTTACAGACATCTGTAAAAATGCACTAAAATTCCTATGGTGTCTCAAGGAAAACCAAGTGTAGCCTCCAAAACTAGAATGGTTAAATGGAGAATAATTCTGTGTTTGCCTGATGAATCTGCATTAGGATTTAAAATGTCTACAATGGTGAAAGTTGTATTTCATTTCAACACTCTGAATTTAGGCAGAAAACATGGAGAAGATGCAGGATACAGGTTGGATTTGATTTTACAAATATAAATGACACGCTGCCTTATGGAATAAGAAATTCCTGCGGGTGAGTGTCTGCTGGAAATAATCACTTAAAAAATTATAATTATAATTATTTACAAATTATTGTATGCTTATCAAACAAGCCCCATATTATAACCAAAAAGTGACGTCAAAAGAAAAAAAAAGTAACAAAAGACAAATGGCTAATCCACCAATTACGCTGCTTAAAATATTGCTCAGACTTCAATAATTTGGTCAATGTCTAGAGTGAGATCATAGAGTGTGTGTGTATATATATAAAAAGCATCTAGACATTACAAAGCTGCATAGAATTCTCTCCATAGAGTGCTATAAGAGAACAGGCTGAGATCTGGAAAAAGCTATGCTTAGTCCAAATAGAGATCTCCATACATATTAGAGGAGGATACTAACAATGTATATAGTATCAAAGCCACACAGTGAAAGTGTATCTTGACACTACTGATAAATCTGACAAACTAGGTAGCAAAACATCTCTGCAGTCTCAATTATACTAAGTGTGGATTAGCCTTGTGGGAAAAAAAGGGGCTATGATCCTAGAGTCTAGGAGTCTAGATATCCCCCTCTAAACAAATGAACTCACAAGGTGGTGAGGGCATTGCATTACTAGTCTATATAGCCTCCTTCTCCTCCTATGTAATGCCCTCACCACCTTGTGAGTGGTGGAAATGTAAAGGGAGACTGTATAGGTCACATGCAAAAGAGGTGTGCTTAGGGCTGTATAAACTAAGTGATTTAACTCTTAAATGGCAGAGAACTGAGGAGTGTGACTGCATGGACATTAGCTATATACCAAACACCATTTATTAGGCCTAAGTTGTTTTGGTACTCAGAGTGTCCCTTTACGGATTTAACTTATGTGCTTGCAGCAATCTCATGGAAACTAGAAGAAAGCCCTCAATGTCTCAGTAGTAAAGTGCGATTATCCTTGACGTATCATACTGCTGCACTATTGTGCATAAGATGAGTAGAAGATGGTGCAAAATGAAAACAAAAAATAAAAACACCTGACCTATTCTAAATATTGTATACATCTTGTGTGGGGTGATTGGAGTGTCCCTTTTGAAGAGATATATTTAGGGAGAACATAGATTAATTCTGTAGATCGCCAACGTCTACAGATTTGTACATTTAAAAGGCAGTATTCTCAAGACTTATTCATTCTATATGGAATGACATCTGAAGATCTCACAGTAGCATACAGTGCAGGCAAATGATGGGAAAGCAATGGGATAGGCAAAGCCAGGCCAATGAAATAAAGATGGGGTAAACAAATTATAGTGTTGGCAGGCCAATGAAATAAAGATGGGGTAAACAAATTATAGTGTTGGCAGGCCAATGAAATAAAGATGGGGTAAACAAATTATAGTGTTGGCAGGCCAATGAAATAAAGATGGGGTAAACAAATTATAGTGTTGGCAGACCAATAAGATAAAGATGGGGTAAACAAATTATAGTGTCGGCAGACCAATAAGATAAAGATGGGGTAAACAATAAATAAATTATCGTGTCGGCAGACCAATAAGATAAAGATGGGGTAAACAATAAATACATTCTCGTGTCGGCAGGCTAAAGAAATAAAGATGGGGAAAACAATAAATAAATTATGTCGGCAGACCAATAAGATAAAGATGGGGTAAACAAATAAATAAATTATCGTGTCGGCAGGATAATGAGATAAAGATGGGATAAACAAATAAATAAATTATCGAGTCGGCAGGATAATGAGATAAAGATGGGGTAAACAAATTCTCATGACGGCAGGCCAATGAGATAAAGATGGGATAAACAATAAATTCTCGTGTCGGCATCCCAATGAGATAAAGATGGGGTAAACAAATTCTTGTGTCGGCATCCCAATGAGATAAAGATGGGGTAAACAATAAATTCTCGTGTTGGCAGGCCAATTTGAGCATTTCTGGTTCACTGAGCCTTGAAAGAACAATGACAAAGGAAAACTATTAACCAAGAGTTGGATTGACCTCACCTGGTGCCAGTTCCTACTAAATAATATTAAAATGGGCACAGTCAGGGCATGGAGGGACTGGGCTGGGCTTGGAGATTAGCGATTGGCTGTGTTCATCTCGACAAACTGAAACCCAATACGCACAGCAGCTCTCCTGTGTTTCTGAATTGTCAGAACTGCGCCATTATTCTGCCTAGCAATCTTCTGTCTGTGTCACCAGTTACAGTGCTTTTTTTTTAGGGTTTCCTTCGTTACCCTCTGGTATTTGCATTGTGCTTCCAGCAAGCCCAGCGTATACCAACTGTGACAGGGCAATTCTTACTTTATACTGTATACATATTAAACCATGAACACTACACATAAAAAAAATAATAAAAAAAAGTGTTTTACATGGGTAAAAGACAATGATTCCTTTACAAATGCATTCCCTCCTGCTTTTTTTAATATTAGGGTTTGAAATCTGAGAACTCAAATAATAGGCCTTATTCAGCAGATAAATCACATTTGCCTGCAGGATAACAGACCTACGCATAGATCGATTGATGAATCTCCAATACCAACAGGAGCGAACCCATCTTTAAAAGACTTGTGTTAAATTAGCACCAATGAGCAGCCAAAGGCATTGAGAACGAGTGTAGCTTGCCCGGACTGGATTATACAGAAATTTAAAATGATTTAGCTTTCAAAAAACTAGAGTATAAAATCTACGCAGATCTTGGATAGAGGCATTTGAAGACAAAGTTAGCGGTGACAAATTACAGCTTTCCATGCCTCTGTGTACAGTTTTCCCTGAGCACAGTTTTGTGAGCAATCCGGCACAAAATCACAACCCATAGTATTCACTAGAATAAAAGTAGAGGTACCCAATGCAAAAGGTTGTGTTATAACAATGATTCATTTAGTAATGGTTTCAGATTTGGACTGTCACAAAAAGCACTTAGTGCAAACACTCCTGTGTTATTCACAAGTCACCTTTCAATTGCTGTGGCTGCCCATTGGTGTTCAATAAACATAGCAGACAAGTTAGTAGGACAAGTGAGACTATGGGGGCAGAAGAGGGCTGGGAAGCAACAGAAGACATGTTACCTGGTGATGTGTTGGTCGAGGTCCAGCTGCAAACTATAGAAAGGAGCGAGAAAGACAATCACAAAAGGAGAGGCAAAAACACAAATACAGTGCCCACAGACAGTAAAAATACAGCAAACACTCCAAGCGTGGCTGAGATATAGTGACAAACGGCACAGGATCAGCATGAGATCTCAGATGACACGGGCAAATACTGGGTGGGATCTTCATCAAATTATTACCATTTAATGCAGAAATGAAACAGGGGAAGTGTAAATTGCACTAGATATTTCCTTTACTGTAACAATGGGGGTATTAAAATATATATATTATATAGATATAGAGAGAGATATATATCTCTCTCTCTATATATATATATATATATCTCTCTCTCTCTCTCTATATCTATATATATATATATATATATATATATATATATATATATATAGATATATATATATATATATATATATATATCTATATATATATATATATATATATTTTGGTAGAGCAGGACAGGCTTGGGAGTGTGAGGATATCACAGCTGCAACCTTTGGGGCTAATATCCTTGCGTCACAGTCATGATCGCCCCTGAGCCAAGTGTTTAGGAGCCTAACCAACATAGTCTCAAGTCAGAAAATAGCCAGGCATATACTAAGTAGATTGTGGTAGTCACTCATTACTTATTGAGAACTGGTAGACAAACAATGAACACCCAAAATGGTATTGAAAGCATAAAAATCCCATGTACAATTTATCAGCTGATTGTCAACATTTCAAGAATACAGGACATCCACTTCAGCAGAACGCACTATAACAAGCACATACAATGTAGCAAGGTAGAACATGTCCAGATTACCACAATAATATACAGATAAAAATACAGTTGGAAAAACAATTGGAGGGAACAAAATGAAACAGGGCATGATTTGAACGACTTGTAACAAATATACATGTTACAATAAACAAAAAACAACCAACCAGTTTTGTGTATATTACAATACTGAATGATATAATGTACTGGGTAATTAAATAATGTGTCTACAGAAAGCAACATACTTCCCAAGATATGAGCATCGGTATAAAATAATCTAATTCAGGGCTAATTAATCCCCAGCCCCTCAGATGTATTTGGACTTCAACTCCCATTATTCCCTGGCTTGTCTACTGTAATCAAACACATTTTAGGAGTTGTAGTCCATCATCAGAGGGGTTGGTGTATGACACCCATAATTCAATCACACACACCAACACAAAATGTTTAGATCTTATATAAACATCACAAAATGATAATTCCATTAATTCAAGCAAATCATATTAAAACATACTGTGAGGAGTAATATATATATATATATGGTGTAAATGGCGATATATTGAACGAATCCTTCCATGTAAAACCTTCAGAACAATCCAAGCCATAAAATCTAGGTGCAGTTTTTAGCAGAACACAAATGCTACATAAATAGATGGCAGGTAAGTTATTTAACAAAAATCACAATTATAATGTGACACGACTAGGAATTTAATGTAAATTTAAAATGTCACACACAGAAAGATACAGTATCAAGGAATGTGGAATTCCATGTGCAATGTTCCTAGTGGCTGGTAGAGAAAGGGTTTCATTCTGTAGGCTCAGCATTTTGGAAAGGGCAGCTTGGGGGTGGGGGGGTTATATGAGGGAGTAAGGGGTGACAAGAAGAGGTCCCTAAATCTTGTGTTCCTGCGCCATATTACTTCCTGATCTTTACTGTAAAATCTAGGCCACCACTTTTTAGTGCCACATAGCCCTATTCCAACAGACACACAAGGTACAAAAATCAACACATGTACGATCATAGCAGCCAGGCCTCAGCAACGTGGGACTACAACCATCCTGGGGGAGATTTAGAAAATTGTTATTAGAAAAGAGATGCAACATTCTAAAAGTGGGAACAATCACCAAGGAAACCAATACACTCCGACAACACATTTCATGGGCGACTACTTTACTTTTCTGATGACGACAGTCATTAAACTTATGTTTTCAATGTGCTCTAGTAACTGGTGTGTGGATTTGACACCATGTGAGTCATATAATGTTTCTTTATACCAGGGGAGCGGATAACAGAAAGGAAATTATTTATATTATAGGCAGAATTAATTAGAATTAGAAATTCCAAACATACCCATGTGACAGTGACCAACTTGCTGCATAGGCTCCTAAACACTAAGTCATACCGACAGAAACAACATAACACATGGAGAAGGCAGGGAAATTCTAGATATTTGTGTGGCTTATAGCGACACCTCATCATGGATGCTATTCAAGGCAGAATTAAACCCTTTTCTACAGGTCCAACATAATGAAAAGCTCTTCAACTGCTATAAACCAGTGGAGGTAGAAGACTTTATACAAATATGCATGTCTCTCGCACAACACTGTTTGTGGATCTATGTCATTCTCTCTCAGAATGTACCTGTGAATTGGTTAACTAAGGGTTAATGAAGTGACAGTCCACCAAAGCTCTGGTCCCAGTGTCATCATAAAGCAACAACATGTCAAGGAGTGAATAACCAAGCTTAATATGGTTACTATACTGCTGAGCACAGAAGTTTACGGGTTTTAATTACAGCAAAGAGAGTAAATTATAATTACCGGAGAGCGATTTTGAGGCTGCGTACTCATAGTCTGTGGCGGTTGCTGATATACCAGTGTAGGCGCCGCTGCATTCTGTCCCGAGGCGTAAGATGCCTATTAGACAAAAACAAGTACGATTAAAAGAAAAATGAGAGAAGCGACCAATACAGTTTGTGCAGAAGGAGGTAATGGAGAATATAATGGGATGACCTATAGAGAAGTTTCATAGTGAATGGGCCTGAGAGGGAGACTGGCCTCTTACATAGGGGTGAAGATTGAGGTGATCTGGCAAGTAGCAGGGTGTCCAATAAAGAAAGCATAGGCTGAGGGGACCATACTGGGGGTTCCTATAGAGGAGATGCAAGTAGAAGTGATGAGGCGGTTGTACAATTAGGAGATGAAGTCTGACAGGGTTGACAGGGCAAGGAGAGCCCTAGAATGAATTGGGTGAGGTATCCATTAAAGAAGGTGCATATGCTCTAATGCTCAAATTTAAACAAAAATTTAAATCAGAGCAAGAACCACAGCCCTCACCTTGTAAAAATGTGCTCAGGTGGGTTATGTACTTTTCTGAATCCAATTAACGGTGTACTGTATTTTTAAAAAACGTTGCATGCTTTTGAAGCTTGAATATGGTAAATATATAAAAAAAAATAAAAAAAAAATTGACTTGCAATGGTGAAGACCAGATCTATTAATCATGTTCTGAAAACCTGGATTATTTTAAGTGTATAAATAGCTACCTGACAATCATGGGTTAAAATGTCAGGCCCTTGTTGTGTTTGTGCTGATGTCGTGCTGACAAAGCCGGAAGTAAGTGGCAGAGCGTGACTCATCTCTCCAAAAGGCAGACTAGCATGTATCTAATGAGCATGCAGTTTGCCTATTTATTCCAAGCATTACTAGTGCTTAGATTGTCTAGCTCCACCAATGTTGATTAGGCTACGCACTTAGAGGCCTAAAAATAAACTGCCTTTTGTACCTTTGCTAAATTTGGCACTGGAGAGGGGGAAGGTGCAGTATGCCGTTGTTTTGATTGCGAAACCCAGCATGGAAATATGAGCTTAAATTTGATGTTGTAAGAAAAAGTTTTACAAACTTATTTGCCTCAGGGGTTGGAACAGCAATTACCACTAACTAGCATGTACTTCCTTTCAGAAAAATGCTAATGTGTGACCAGTGCTCGTTACAGATTCCAAAAAAATACATATGGGGACAGAGTTTTATGGCTTGTGAATAAACATGAGTTATGGCAAGGGCAGTCTGCATTATGCATAAATGGCACACGCTTGGGATGGGGCAAATTGTGCATTGAATGTGATACAGTGCAGTCTGAGTTTCACAAATATGGAGCCTCATTGTGACACTGTAACAGAGTGCTATGTGTGAGGTTCCCTCTAATGGGGATAGATAAACTATATAAAGAGCTGGAGGGGTTATAGATCGGAACAAGTGGGTGGTTACTAAGAAAGGAATATTTGACAGTGGAACCATTTTTAGTTCCACCTCCACTGACTAAACAGGTGCTAATGTGATGCACGTTTTGGTGTCACAGGGGTAATTCTGACCAATTCCTGCCATCCTAGGGTTTATTTAAACCCATTTTAGATTTTCTTTTAAGCCCATTTACCCGTAATCAGAGAGTGCATTTCCATTGAATTTTTTTTTTTTTACCATTCTGACCTCTGCTTGTTATTGACTTTTTCCTCCTGTTATCCTTGACCTATTGGCCTGTCTTCTCATACTTTTCTCACTCTATATTCATGACCTTGGCTTGTCTCTGACTAGTCTATATTTACATTAAGTCCTGCCACGCCAAGTACCAGTAATACGTTTGTTTCACAAGAGTTTTATTTAACCTGTGTTTTACTTAGACACTGCGTGTTGGGGTCATAGTATTTCCTGACAGGTAGGTACACAGGATAGTAGAGCTGTGAATACAGAATGCAAAGATTTGTTTTTTAATTATAAAGCAGACAAGGTGGGGTAAGGCACTGGTGGGGTTATAGATAAGATCTTACCTGTGAAAGTCCAGGAGAGGAGGCATGCCCGGGTGGTGTGACGGCCAGATTGGGAAGTCCCTTAGTTAAGTCATGTGTAGAATATGGGGAGGGGGCCGGAGGCCCTGGCTGTCTCGCTACCTGTGCTGCAACCTGTACAGGAACATAATTCAAAGTCTCAGAAACTGGGGGAACTCATGGTTGATAATTTAAACTCAGAATGAAAGTATTTTACATTTAAATACAAAAAAAACAATTCAATCTAATTTGGTGGAAAACTGTATATTGTATTTGTCCAACTTGCCACTCACAACTTGTACACCATAAAGAGCACTCCCACCCCCTTCACTTTTAAGCCTATAATATTTATCTTCATGATGCACAAACTGAATACTTAATTATCTGCCTGTTCGATCTATGTATGTATGTATGTATGATATGTGATGTCAGCGAAGGCAGAACCTGAAACTGAAGTGGAAACAGATTGGTCTCAACTGAGAAGTAGGACAGGGACTTTTGAAAGAGTTGCTGGAACCATTAGGAGGGGTTTAAAAGGACTCTGGTGGGGAGGGGGGTTTATATTCATGTTTGACTTGTATGCACAACAGAACTGTCCCTAAGAAAGTCCCTGGCAGGGAACAAACGCCTAGGACTTGTGGTGACATACTACATTGTCTGTTGCTTACTTATTTCTGCACTTTACCTTGCATCGATCATATATTGTTGCACTTTATATCTCTAACTAGATTGCACAGAGATTGAAAATAAAGCTGAAGATTTAGGAAGACCTCTAAATGGAAGTAGCATTCTGAAGGCTTTTTTTGGCATAAAAAGTGGCCAGTGGCCAGCTGGACAAAAATCTAATTTAAAATCTATATACAGGTTCCACTACGTTGTGCCATGTCTGTCTTCCCTGGCAGAATTGCCCCTAGGTATTTTAAAGATCAGGGGATATCTTTGGGGTACATTCCTTGTTTAAAGGAAGGTTTTTGCCAGTTTATTAATTTATATTTCACTGTATCACTTTACACTTTATTTTTAAGTTGTGACAGTTGCTGTCCATACATATGCATTTATGTTGAATTTAGTTAGTAAAATCTGACAGCATAATCTGTACAATTTCAACAAAAGAAGAAATGATGCACTCAGTTGTGATCAATCCCTCGATCGCTGACCTGGATCTCCGAATTTTAGCCTCACCTTTCCAAGAATCAAATATTCCCTTAATATCTGAGCAAGTTCATTAAAAAAGAGAAAAAAACAAAACAAAATGCCTGTGATATAAAGTCAATGAGATATTCCCAATACCAGGGGAGGCAGCATAGCTCTGCAGTGTGCACAAGTAGTGCTACGGTCAGCACGAAACAAAGCACTATCTACAATACACACGGCAGCCCGCGGGGATTACAAGGCAAAACTGATGATAAAATCACTTAAAATGCTGAGTGGAGTCGTGGAGAAAGTTGTCTACTTAACATTTCAGGTTAAGAGTTTTACAGAGTAGCGTGTGTCCCAACCTGCATCTGTAGCCAAATCTGGGAGAATGTTTGCCTTAACAAATTAAGGGAATATATACTAGTTCTCTGTAAGGGGCAGCAATATTCACTGAACATGGGATTTGGTTATAGAGGGATAGAACTTGCAATTAAAGGCTAGCATGGTAATTTACTAAACTGAGAATTGTCAGGAATTTAAAGTTAATTTCAAAATCTAGACCAGAATAGCAAAACTGGATGCATAGCAGACTTGGAGAATTATTCCAATTCGGTTATTTTGGCCTTACATTTGAAATTTACTTTGAATGCCAATGATCCTCACTTTTATAAATAACCCTGTACATGTGTAACCAGTGTTGGGCACATAGGACCATACTTACTGTACTATATACAGCAGATACTGCAGAAGGGGTGAAGATTCGATCATCTAGGCCCTGTTGCAGTGCTCCACGGGATATTCTATGATTTAACAGGTTAAGGAAAGAACTGGACTACGCACAGTTATCCCGGACTACGAACAGCAGTCGCAAATAGCTTACACTTTCCATTTATCCTAACAGCCTTTATGACACATTAGTGAGAGAGAGAGAGAGAGAGAGAGAGAGATACATATATACATAATGGCCATTCCTAGTTTACAGATTAAACACAACCAACCTAGAATGAAATTTTAAAAAATATATATTTTTTAAATTAATCATTTTGCAGAGAGTCCACACATTGGGTGATATTGCTTTAAGAGACAGAACTTCCACTAGGAAAGACTACAGAGCAACAACATCCCTAAACAGAGTCAGATAGCTCACAGAACGCCTGCAGACGAGACTGCTGTCCTGGAGAAATAACATAGACAGCAATTATTGTGCAATGCTTCCAGCAAATAGACAAGTCTGTCTTAGAAATACACCAGAGCTCGGATTTGAAGAATGGTGAATGTCAGGTGGTTGTTATGGGTAATAGTTAAGCCCACAGAGAATTTTAACACTTTGGAGTTTTAAGACTGGGGTAAAGGAAATGGATGAGGATACGAGGAATAATAAAAGTCGCCAACATTTCACTGAATATCATAATGCTTAACTAGCTGAACTAGGAGACTTGTAGCCTGATGCATGCACTATGGAACAAGTTTGAGATTTTTTAAATAAAGTAATGGACTGATCACATTACGAACAAACACTTCACCGCACAGCAGCTTTGGGGAGACTTACCTCCTCTAATACCAAAGAGGTAACCAACGTATTGCATAGAGGGACCGATAGTTTGAACGAGACATTTGATTGCAGAAGGACCATCCTGGTCATCTTGCAATCAAAATAAAATGCACAAAATTTCAAAACGGACTGTGTGCGTTAACTGCAAGCAATGCATTCAAAGGGATGAAAAAGTTTTACCATACCAGGGAAATGCAGAATCATCGAAAGGATTAGAAAAACAAAGCATTTCATGTTTCTAAGAGATGGTTGACGCGTTTTCGTTGCCTATAGACACAGTGGGAGGATGGACGGTGTGGGGGTACATACACAGCATAGGACTTGCTGCACTTCTGTTCTAATATCCTTTCAATACCCTTGTAAATCAAGACATTAATCTGTGGCGTTTGTTCAATTGTTTTTCATTTAAGAATTTCTCACACTTTGAATAACAATCACAAAATAACTTCAGGTTTTACCAGGATAGAAAGAAAGTAGACAGATGTCAAGTCTGGGTCAAGGTGACGTGGCGGCTTGCCAATTGGAAGTAGCTGGGGGGTGTGGGGGGGCGAGGTATGATACAAAGTTACAGAGGTCACAAACCATAATACTCTACATTCATTACATTCTTATATTACAGAGGGACAGTCAATAGTTTGGATAAATAGGAGTGTAAATCAGACTCCCATGCCAAGGATGGAGACATTGAACGTAGGTGCTGCATACTGTGCAGCACTGAACTACGAAGCAACTCTAGTGGCCATCTGAGTGATTGCAACTAGAGGTGACGGCAGCAATGTAATAATGCCTTGTCTCTGAATGCTTCTACATTGCTGAGCCTGCAGGACAGGCTATAGACACCATAAAGCTGTAATTAAGCTGTAATGGTTTTTTTGGGGTTTTTTTTTTAACCAAGTATCGACATAGGTCACAGGCATTGCAACAGTACAGTGTATCTAGTACAGCAGGAATAAAGTATGCTGCAGTTGTACACACAATCAAACAAGCTTTCAGTTGAATGAGTGCAAAGAACATTTCTGTGACCCAGAAGAACAATAACATGTACGAAACAGAAATTAATGGGTCGTTGCTATTTATGCTGGTAAAAACAGATTCGGAAGAATTATGGGGAAACTGGGTGTAACGTTAACATTCAGTCTGGCGTAAAAATGTGTTTGAGGCCGTTCAGGTATACCATTACACTGAGTGTACTAACTGACTGCTGGTTTGTCTGGTGTTATTGAGAAATAGTGTCCAAGGGCTCAATATGCTCTCGTACATGCCATATGCAGGTGTTAGGGAAAAATGCACCTCTTCCAAGAGGCAAATGGATTCTACCTTATTGATCCATTCCCTGATCGTGGGTGCTCCTAATTTTTTTCCAGTTCGCTGGAATAAGGGCATTAGCTGCTGTAAGCCGATGTGTAATCAGTGATCGTGTCAGTCTGGGGAGTGGGTTCGGGTAGTGGAAGAAGAGTAAAGTTTCCGGTGTAGTAGGCAACCTGATTTTGGTCACGGAGTGAATCATTTTGGCTATTTTGGATCAGTACTCACTAATAGTGATGTCCCGAACGGTTCGCCGCGGACGGCGAACATAAACAAACTTTGACCCTGTACCTCAGTCAGCAGACACATTCCAGCCAATCAGCAGTAGACCCTCCCTCCCAGACCCTCCCACCTCCTGGACGGCATCCATTTTACATTCATTGTGAAGCTGCATTCTTAGTGAGCTGTCCAGGAGGTGGGAGGGTCTGGGAGGGAGGGTCTACTGCTGATTGGCTGGAATGTGTCTCCTGACTGTGAGGTACAGGGTCAAAGTTTATGTTTGCCGTCCGCGGCGAACCGTTCGGGACATCACTACTCACTAATAGTTGGGCAGATCCACCATATCTGACCTGTCGTCCCTATAGGGTGGGAGCATCTCCAACAGGCTGCTGATGCATTTGGGAATTTTTTTTGTATTTTTGACGGTGCCATCTGGATAATCGTTTGTAATTTCCTTCTTGAGTGTGTGTGCTAATGCTAGACTTATGTACATTAAAGAATATGCATTTCCAGTCCCTTTGTGTAAGTGTGAGATTGAGCTCAGACTCCCAAGAGCTTGCGTATTTTGGCAAGGAGGGAGATGCTTCCTGCTGCAGTGCCTTATACATCGTGAGAGAAGTTTCGTTTTAATGTCTCTGGAAGCACAATGGTTTTCAGATATTGTAAGTTGTTTGTTCCCTTTTAGGGGTGGTCATGATAAATTGGGTGAGCTGGGAGTACCTGAATTGTTCTAACACTGTGAGCGTTCTATAAGTCCAAATACTATGGAGTGGTGTGACGCCCTGGCCGTTCAGTAATAAGCGCAGAGTGAGGTAGAGGGAGAAGTGGAATGTTGCAAAGGATGTGAGATAGAGGCCTGGTGCACACCTCGGGTTGTGTGAAAGTGGATATAAAGGGGATTGGTGAGGAGAAATGCTCAGTAGTTACCTAACTTGTGTCCATATTTTAAGAGTAGGTATTATTGTGGGATGTGTTGCATGAACTTGTTTGAAGAGAGCTTTCCCCTGGTGTTGCCATGGAATGATGTATAGTGGGTGTTGGAATACGACCCAGTGTTTACAGCTGTTCAGAAGTGTCTATTCATATATCTTCCCAAGCATGGTGGCTTGGTAGTACATTTGGAAGGCTTAGGCCGCCTTGATGTTTGTGGCATGTGAGGGTTTTATATGGAAGTCTGGGGTGAGTGTGAGCCCAAATGAAGAGAGTAAATTATTTTTTTTATGTCCGAAAAGAACAATTTGTGTATAGCTTTAGGGATGGTTTGTAGTAAGTACATAATTTTGGGGAGTATGTTCATTTTTATAATGTTTATTCGGCATAGCCAGCTGAAGTGTGGTTTGTGCCATTTAGTCAGGTCTTAAGAAATAGTTTGCAATAGGGATAGGAAGTTCAAGTCAAAGAGTTTGTATTGGTGTATAGGTAGGTGTATTCCCAGGTAATTAACAGATGTGGGGACCATAGGAAGGGAAAATAGTTTTTTAGGGATGTCTTAGTTTGATCGTTTAGCACTAATGGGAGGATCTCACTTGACTTTAAATTGAAATTGACTTTAAAGTTGGACACATGGTGATATAAGGAGATTTCCCCCAGGATCAGTGGCATAGACAGCAACGGTTGGGTAATTGTGAAGAGAAGGTAGTCAGCGAAGGCTGCTAACTTACATTTGCTATCCTGGACAGTAAAACTGTGTGTAGTGGGGTTGTCCCTGATGCCCTGAATGGGTTCCATGATTAAGATGAACAAAAGCGTTGATAAAGGGCACACCTGTCTCGTGTCATTTGAGATCGTGAGGGGTTCGGACAGTTGGCCATTGATTCGAATACGTGCTCTTGATTTGGAGTAGATGGATCGTATCCATTGTAATAAGTTCGAGCCAAAGCCTATAGCTTTGAGGTTTGTGAGCAGCAGGGACCAGTCCACCCTGTCAAACACCTTTTCCGCGTTGATTGATAATAAAAGGCTCCAGATGTCAGATTTTTTTAGCAATACGTTTATTAATTTGGTGGTGGTGTTTTTGGCTTCACGTTCGGGTACAAAGTCTGCCTGGTCGAGGTGGACCAGTCCCTGCAGAAGGGGGCGTAAGCGGTAGGCTAGGATTTTAGTAAAGATTTTAAGGGAAATGGGGCAGTAACTTCCGCACAGGGTCGTGTCCTTCCCTGGTTTAGGAATGAGGGCGATATGGGCTTCCAGAGCAGCATCTGGTAGTTGCGGGGATGCGATGAGTGAGTTAAATGCGTCAATAAAGGGAGCTGCGAGCAGCTTTGAGAACGTCTTATAGTATTTAGCCGTGAAGCAGTCTGGTCCTGGGCTCTTGCCAAGGGGGGAGGCTTTTACTGCAAAGAATAATTCATCTATATGTAATGGTGCGTCTAAGTATTGTAAAAGGTTGTAGGGAATGGTTTGTTTGATTGTTGTTCCACTTCAGTAACAGTAGGCAGGGTAGTACGTATATTATAGAGCTCGGTATAAAACTCTTGGAATGCCCTAAGAATATCTGGGAGTTTATGAGACATCCCCCCTGTTTGTGTTTTTATTTTGGAGATAAATGTGGTTTGTCTCGTATCTTTGATTGCGCTGGCTAGTAAGCGTCCGCATCTGCCACCTTGGAAGTAATATGAGTGTTTTGTGAATAACGTTTGTTTAATTTGGGCATCCATAAGCTGCTGCGATTCTGATCTCTTTTCCGACAGTTTCTTGTAGTTGTCTAGAGTGGCAGAGCGCTTGTATGCACTTTCCATTGTTCTTATCTCTGCTAAGAGTGTGTCTGATCTTTCCTTGCACTGTTTTTTTAAGGTTGGAAGCTAATGCTTTAAGTTGCCCCCTCATCACACATTTATGTGCCTCCCACATCACAGTGGGTGCGGTAGAGGGTTGTGTATTCTTGTCAAAGTATTGCTTAATAGTTTTTTGAATGGGGTCAGTGGCAGTTTTGGTGTTTAATAGTAGGTTGTTTACTTTCCATTGGAAGGAATGGGAAGGCAAATCGGGGATCTGGATGGCAAGAGACAGGGGTGCATGGTTGGTCCATAATCACAAGAGCGAACTAAGTGAAGGAACCGGTGTTGAGTGAATATATCAAATCAATTCTAGAGTATGTGTGTGTTGAGTGTGAGTAAAAGGAGTAATCATGATCTTGGGGGTGTGTGTAATTCGCCATATGTCAAATAATCGTGTCTCGTCTAGGAGTGAGGTAACCCTCTTTCTGGTTGTTGATATCGGATGCTGTGGATGTGGTATCCAGGTGTGCGCTTATGGAGATATTGAAGTACACTCCCATGAGTAGGATCCCTTCAGTGAATTTCTCCATTAGGTTGAGGTATTTCCTGAGCATTCTGCCCTGTCTCCTGTTAGGCATAGATAAGTTCACTAAAGTTACCATATGTTGTCCTACTAGTCCCTTTACCATCAACAATCTTCCCGAGTCAGTGGATTCATGCATCTTATAAACAAATGGAACCCCGGCAGCTATCAATATGGCCACACTGCTTGCTTTAGAGTTTGTGTAGTTACTAAAGTATTCATTAGGGTAATGCTTGTTTTGTAGTGTGGGGGTGGTGTCCACTCTGAAATGGGTTTCTTGCAGGAATGCAATGTCAGCTTTGAAATTGTGGAGTTCTGTAAGTACCTGTGTACATTTTTCTGGGAGATTTAGACCCCTGGCATTTAGGGAGATCAACCTGAGGGTGGCCATACCAACACCAGAAGGGTTGCAACCTGTCTAGGGTAAAACCAGTCAGTGTAAAGAACCAATCTGAATATCTAAATAACTATTTACAGAAAAAAAAAAAAAAATAAAAAAAAAAATGAAAGAAGAGACACCAGTTAGGTGCAATATAGCGTACTTTTTGTCAATTGTAAAAGACAACTGGTATTGTCAGCAACTGTCCCCAGGTACTAAAAGTGTGCTCTGGGAATTAGTATAGTTGCCGCTAAACTGGGCGGTTTATCCAGTGCGTGTTACACAGTTGGCTAGTATGTGAGGGGGAGAAGTATAGTAATTGTTATAGTGTTTGGAATGTATGCGGGATAGTGAGGTCCGTCTAGGATGGGAATTCTCAATAATAGTGTAAGGCGGGCATGGGCTGATTTAGATATGCTAAGTGGCCAACAGGATGTGAGGGCTTAATAGATGGCAAGAGGGGATTTGTGCATCCAACATCCAATATGAGTAACCTGGTTGCGCAAGTAGGTATGAGAACAGGAAAAAAATAAAAATAATTTCAACCAATAAACATAGAGAACAAACACATTAGCACCAATATTTGGCGTGTCTCAGGAATGATCGGTTAGTTCATACAATCACAATGCATGAAATGGGTGTTGAATAGTGCCTTAATTGGGGGTGGGGGAGGGATACCAACTTATTGAGAGGTCATAACAAAAAAAACAAAAAAAGTCAAAGAAACCCCTTGTTTTTTTTGTTGTTCTTATTCAAACCTAATACGTGCGAAGAGCATGTATATTGTGCTGGGCTACTTTCCATGTCCCGGGATCTAAGAGTAAATTTGTTAGACTCGTGGGGAATATGATATGGGCACTTTAAAGTGTCGCGGTAGGATGATAGGAGCCTAATGCCCAGAGTGTTTTGTATGTAGAGTACCATTTAGTAATTATGGTTATAACGGAAAGAGGAATGGAAGTAAAAATGTCAGGGATTAGAGAATAGTCTGAATCTGAATACGAGATACCGTGAGTCCATGCGGTGGGGTGAGTGCAGTTCCAGGGCCTATTTTAAGTGGATTGGTGCAAACAGTCCACGACCAGTGGGGACGGTCATGCTTTATCAGTGTCTAGTGAGCTTGAACCCGCTGGGGTTTGCCACCTTTGTCGTTGTTGGGGTTGCGTGGGTACAGCAGCTTGATTCAGTCCATACCAATCAGCTACCTGTATGTCTGGGAAATCCATTGCTTGGTTAAAGATTCTGATGTCCTGCGCTGATGCCAGCGAGTGAGTTTTGCCTTTATGTGTGCAATAAGAGTCAGGGGGAAACCCTATCTGCAGCGAATATTCCTTCATCTGAGCAAATCTATGACCAGACGTACTTGTGAGACCAGTAGATTCCTGTCATCTTCTAGGGTATTAACCCTTTCGCCCACCTGGCGGATATCAGTCCCCAGGGCTTCCATTCAAGTTTGGAAGGAAACCTCCAGTCTGTCTAACATGGCAGCTATGTCCGTTTTTGAGGGGAGATTTTGGAGTACCTCTTTAAGGTCACTGTCCGTTGGGCATAACAAAGCCTCGGAGCCCTCCGGACTTGATGGAGCTGAGCCGTATTGGGATGATTCCGGAGCCATGTTTTGGCCTGATGCGCCCGCATGGTGGTCCGCATTGTCACGGAAAGATTTTGTAAGGGTGCCTGATTTCCCCACAGAGTGTTTAGTAGTAGAGTGCTGACTTGATAAGGATCTTTTGGGGTGATCCATGTTGTAAGTTCTGCCCGATCGTAGTGGATTCCCACACTATGTAGACGGAGCTGTCTCAGACCGTGTCCGTGCAGTAGTGCGGATGACTCCATCCCCGCTGTAGTGGTTCTTGTGACTAGAGTGTCCCTTTAGGACAAAAAGAGCCAAACTGAAAATAGAATGTATTTAAAGAATTTTCCTAATTTGGCTTTTTTGACCAAATTCTCACTTTAGTAAATAGCATGAAAGAGTCTAAAGGGCTAATAATATACTAGCCCATTTAGGCTTGAGGGCACCCTGGTCCATCACCTCTGCTTGGAACCTAATAATGATGGACGTACTGGGGATACTAGAATCACAAAACAGCTTGTGGAGTGCATGGAGACTGTTTTTGTTTGTACAGTCCTAGTCACACCTCCCTGCATGTGACTCAGCCTTCTTAAATACTCCCTGAAAAGAAACCTAAATATTCTAAGTTTCTTTACTGCACAGTCTGTTTAATCTATAATTTCTTACTTCATGCTCTATTAATAATAGCCTTCTAGACCCTGAAGATGTTTTTACAGAGCAGGAGATAAAAACCACAAAACCTTGTTAATGTGATTGAAAATTAAACTAAACTGTGCTCATCTAAGAGTAAACACCCTTAATTTCACACCACATGTATGAGCCAGGGCCTTTTAGAAGTATCTGATCGCCCATTTCATGCACCAGGTCCAGGATGTACTGCATCTCACTCTTTAGAAATGGAGGGGGAGTACTATATAACAGAACCCCCTACATTCCATCTCACTCCCTAGAAATGGAGGGGGAGAACTATATGTAACAGAACCCCCTACACTGCATCTCACTCCCTAGAAATGGAGGGGGAGAACTATATGTAACAGAACCCCCTACACTGCATCTCACTCCCTAGAAATGGAGGGGGAGTACTATATGTAACAGAACCCCCTATACTGCATCTCACTCCCTAGAAATGGAGGGGGAGAACTATATGTAACAGAACCCCCTATACTGCATCTCACTCCCTAGAAATGGAGGGGGAGTACTATATGTAACAGAACCCCCTACACTGCATCTCACTCCCTAGAAATGGAGGGGGAGAACTATATGTAACAGAACCCCCTACACTGCATCTCACTCCCTAGAAATGGAGGGGGAGAACTATATGTAACAGAACCCCCTACACTGCATCTCACTCCCTAGAAATGGAGGGGGAGAACTATATGTAACAGAACCCCCTACACTGCATCTCACTCCCTAGAAATGGAGGGGGAGTACTATATGTAACAGAACCCCCTATACTGCATCTCACTCCCAAGAAATGGAGGGGGAGTACTATATGTAACAGAACCCCCTACACTGCATCTCACTCCCTAGAAATGGAGGGGGAGTACTATATGTAACAGAACCCCCTACACTGCATCTCACTCCCTAGAAATGTAATATATAACCAAGCCCCCCATCTCATGCGAGAGGAATGACAATAGGACTGAGTCCCTTGCAACACATCTCACAGCCCAGGAATGAAAGGAACATTTTCCGTACCTGTATGTACACTCCAGCTTTTCCCATGAATCAGATTCACAGCAGACTTTGCTGGTTCTATTCCCCAGGGATACTGTGCAGGGGTAGCAGGTAATGTCAGAACTGATGGCTTCTCTAGCTGAAGATTAGATTAACACTATGTAGTGTAAACACAGAGCTGGTGATGTGATCACATGAGTGCCCTGTATACTGTGGGAGAAACACACATACCACAGCTACACAGCCACCCAACAGAAGCAAGAGGACATCTAATCCTGGACCAGGGAGAAAAACAAAGTAACGTGGAAGGGGTTACTTTAGGTCGGAACACTGTCACCAGGCAGATTACATTCACACAGCAACACTTAGGAAAAGCTCTCTGATTGGCTGCAGTTTTGTGATGTACACAATACAGTAAAATAAGTAACCTTCACACTGCGCAGGGCAGTAATATGCAGACAGCCTGATCCCCAGAATAAAACACACAGCGTCTGCAGCATGCCTGAAACCCGGAATAAAAGCACACAGTCAGCCTGATCTCCCGAATAAAGCACACAGCCAGCCTGATCTCCCGAATAAAGCACACAGCCAGCTAGCCCCTGTTTTTCGCCATTGTTTGTAATTTTCCTGGGATCATTATATGAAGATTCTGCATTTGCTCGCATTGCTTCCTATGGTCTATTTGTGCAAGAAGATACTACCATGATGTAGTTTGTCATGATATTAGTGTAAAAACTGCAATTTTATTTCCAATTAGAGCAAGTAACTCTGTTCTATGTTAAACATTCACAATATGAAGAGAGATCAGAAACACAGAAAGAGTCCAGCAAAAATGAACAGTTGAAGGAAGGGGGGAAAAAACGCTCACAAAAAAATAAAACCCAGAATAAAATCGTTACCCCTCTTCACATCTTAAAAGAAGCAAAACAAACAGTAAAAGGTTCCAAATGATCTGCAACACTTTGATAAATCTTGCCAAAGTGTTTGTGGCCTTGTTAACCCCAGAAATCACACATTTACACAGCAAATTGTTACAATAATCGTGACAACTTTAGTAGCTATGACGGCGCTTAACCCCATGGGCACACTTTAAATCTGATTACAGAGGCTTTCATAGGACGGCATTCACAGAGCAAGGAGCAGCCAGGCACCGTGGAGTCTGCACATACCAAGTCTAGGTTTAAGTGGGATTGGCATTGCGCAATGGTGCACAATGTAAACGGGATTGTCGCTGTAAGGACAGCCATTATCCCTGATTGCACTGTCTGCACTCTCTGTGATTCATCACGTTCCACAGCGTGCGCAGCCCTGAAAACATCTTGTTCTGCAGAGGCAATTCACAGACTGTTATCCCAGCTTTGCAAAACTGACCTGTATGCGGCATCAGAACACAACATTCCCAGAGAATAAGATGCACAGTTTTACAGGGTTTTCATTTTAAAGCTTTCTAAGGAAAAAAAAATAAATGAAATATTTCACATGAGTGAGTTAAAATGCTGATGATTTAATAGCAGCACTAAATAGCACACAAAAATGTACTGATTTTTCCCAAACGGAACCAGTGGTAATATCACCAAGTGCATGTTGCCAAATATTATAACCGATTTCAGGGATTATTCCGCAGACACAGGAATCAGTTAAACCATCATGGAAAACAGTCATGAGTAAGTGAAAAAGAATAACTGGAGATGTGCCAGCAGTACAAAATTCAGACTGATATCAGTGGAATGTGGAGCCTACTGCAATTCAAATGCAGTAAAAAAAAAAAAATTAAAAAAAGAGAGGAAAAGATAAATAAAATAAAAATACAAAGAGGTGCAATTACTAATGAGCATCTGATAAAGGTTTTTCTCACCACCTCATGTCCAGAGAGAATCAGATCTTAAGCTCTATTTACTAAACTATATAGAAAACCACTAATTCAGCACAGACTGCCCCTCTAAAACTCACCACACTAAATGCCCTTCTGATCCTAAAGGGGACAAGATCATTTCAAATAAAAGCTCAGATTTATTATAGCCCCAGTATTACTTCATAATGCATACACATTGATAACTATTTCAGAGCGTTGCGCGGCTTACCCTTGGTTCATGAGGGCAGCCATCTTTAAATTCTCTTTTGTCAGATGTACTGCTTAATTGACCATGCACAAATATTGATGTCACATGTAAATGCAAGGCATCTCAAATGTACTGGCAGCTAGACTGAGCCAAATTGATTATGGTCTTGGGAAAAATACATGGGGCATTCCAAGAAACACTTCAAGCACCAAAAACACTGCAGCACCCTGTTCACCACCGGTGCCCTCCCACGTAATGAGCAGATGGAGGTGGATTTAAGCCACACTGTGTCACGATTTTCAGCCCAGCACTGGTGAAATTTGCAATTTCATCTACAATCCTGTTTAGTGAAGAAACCCAAACATTTGAACATAATTCGAGTGCATCTTCAGCAGTAAAGTTATCAAATTCGGATTCCACAATTTCCTCTGGTTAAACGATAACAAATATGGGGTAGAATAAAAAGAATGACTTCGGAAGCACAGCTATTGGCCTTGTTTACAAGCTACGAGACAGCACATTTCACAATCTTTGTTCCATTCCATCCACATGACGGATTACTGGCCCCGGTTTAAAAAGAAAAGAATCACTTTCTAAATATAAATATCCCACACGCTCTGAATGTATTAGTAAGTGGGGGGTTTTAGCTTCTACAGGACCAGTAATCAAATCTGAGAAAGACGGTAACTGGGTTTGAGGCCTGTAAAACGTGTTTAGAGCCTATCCATGCCAAGTAACACAACAAACAAACAGAGGGGCAAATAAAACTGCTAAACTGACTGGAACCAATCCTGAAAAGCCTTTCAGGGCACTTAAAGAGCAAAATCTTGATGATAATTTTCCATCCAACTCATTCTGAAAACACAGCTCTGAATTAAAACACACACACAAAAAACAAACCTTCACTGCAGCCTCTCCAAATTGTATATCTTAAACATTAATTCACAAAGGATTCCTGTTCTGGTTAGCAAAGAATTAACTAATCAGAAGAAAAATCATCTTGTTTTTACAATCCTTAAGAAAAGTATCCCATGTGAGAGGGTGGGAGGGAATGTGCCCTCAGCTCCCAGGAATATTCTCTAAATTGGATAGCACTTATTTATGTAAACATCATAGTGAATGGTTTATCTCAATATTACACCATCAGTGGATTCCACACTCACCTCCATTTATCATATTAACCTGACCAGTCTACATCTCCATGTGGATCAGTCGATTGTTGGGATTTTTTTTGGTATGCTGAGTCAAGATACATTCAGTATGTATTCTTTTCCTTATGTGCATCAAGCTCTGTAAAGCCTGCAAAGTGCCTGGATTTAGCAGGGTAAAATGCCGACCTGCGTGTACACAGAGCAAAGCCCCTGGAGATTGCTCACAGCTCAGTATTAACTTCCTTATAGGCGCTGAGCTTTCAGAAAGGTTAGCCTGGGAAAACGAAAACAGAAAGTAAGAACTGTGAGTCAAGCTCATCGTCACAGTGATTAGGCAACAGCCGGTACTGTGCCAAGTGGCGTGTCTGCTTTTCATGTTTACTGAACCCAGCACTGGGACTTCCTGGAAACCTCACAGCACACTGCTCTGTACACAATGTGAGCAGGGCAGAGTACAAGGGCAATGTCACAGCTAGAAACTGTTTACTCATAGGCTCAATCAGCTGTGGTGGACAGCCATAACATTCTGAGTTACAAATCTGGAATCTTGTGGCCCCAGTCTAACCCATCGATCAGTGGTTCCCGATTCATTTTTCCTGTGGAACCCTTTGACATAGTGTACCACCATCGTGGAACCCTAAAATAGAAAATTTGCGACGTAGCACAAACCTTTTAATAATACTTCCCTAACCTGGATAAATACAGATTGCCAGAGTACAAAGGATGATGTTTTGTTCTCAGCTCTTAGTAAGTACATAAAGCAAAAAACATAACTTCCCTCCTATGTTAAAATGGGATTGGTCACAATACCGATTGAAGCAAGTATATTAGCTTGAAAGACAGAGGTACACAGGACCATCCAGTAACCATGCTCACAACCAGCTGAGTGAATCTGGAGTGGCCAACGGCCACTCCTGGACTGCAGAGAAGCTGCATTTTTGCAAACAGATAACTGGGACAATCCCACTCGGAGTCTTTTAGAAATTATCAGCACATTCACTAATCTAACTGCAGCAAATGCATGCGGACAGTCATTATCATCGTTCCTGGTCAGATGGTGAACCTTTGCGACAGGGAAGAATAAGCCATTTGTTGACTACTACCCGTCTATGATCAAATCTGGGCCATGTGGTCACAGTATAGGAATATACCTGGAATGAAATATCGGAGATTTCTACCATAAATCCCTTCCTATTCTGGTCATGTTTTGTTTTTATGTGTTTTACATTTTGTACAACAATATACTTTCAGATTTTTTTCTCTACAGACTGATTTAGGACTTTGTATAAATTTAAATTACATTTTACCAGGAGGAGAAAAAAACAAAAAAAAAAAAACAACGACAAACAAAAATGATTAGCTTTTCTTTCATTTTTACTAGTCCGTTTATTTATAGTTCTGAACAAAACCACCTTTTTACCTTACTGGAAATTCTGTAGCACAAAAAAATGATTGTTTCCCAGCCTAGAGCTCAATCAGAATGCACTGATAGGTGATAAGACTGTGCTGTTTGGAATTATAGAATGCAACCATCTATATCAAATTCATCCTCGTAGGCTACTGTACTCTAAACGTCCTCCATAATGGGATGTTCTGTATGTGAAGCTCTCCATTCAGCGCAGGGTACAAAGCACGCAGGAGGATAGCCTTCCTCCCACCAAAACACAAGGCCTTCCCTAGCACACATGCTGTGAAACAAAACGCTAAATGTGTCATTAGCTGATCAGATGCAATGACCTAAATTGATCCCACTGTAGCAGACAAGAGAAAATCTATACTGCTCTTTGTGCAGTAAAACCATCCCTCCCTCCTTTCCCACGCAGGTCATGATGGATGCCTTACCCATACAGCTTTCATTAACCTTGCGCAAGGCCGGGAAAAAATGAATTAATAAATACTCTAAATTTGGATATCTGGGGGGGGGGAGGAAGCAGGGAATTTAAGCACAGGAGGGCCTCAATATGTACATTCAAATCTGCACCTGAAAATACGTATCACCTATTTACTGAGAACCCATCGGAAAAATTTATCTAACCGTGTCTCAGTTCATTTCTATAGCAATCAGCAAACACCCCTGGACAAAGGAGGTCTCACAGAATGAACTTCAGAATTTGTGGTAACTCAGTAAATGGAAGAAAAAAAACCAAAAAACAAAAAAAACACAACAGCTACTGAGTAATCCTCTTGCATAATTAGACAACTCTAGATCAATGATGGCTTTAAAACTACATTTCCCATGATGCTACGGTTGGCTGAGCATTGTGGGGAAAAGAGATCAGAAACATTTTGGTGCCAAGGTTAGCCATCATCATCATCATCTGTATGAATTATTTTTCAGTGAATTTGGCAGGATTATTTCCCAAGATGTTTCAGGTCACAATAACTGAAGTTGAAAAAGTCTACAATGTTTTGGCTATTCTCCGTTTAGTGACAATTCAGTCTAAGTGAACAACTATCGCCTTCTTCAAACCTCTTTCAATCCTCCGCTAACATGTCCAAAGACAGACAAAAGTAAGAGATCTATAATGTAACCGGCCTGAAGACACCTGCAAAGTATTGAAAACTTACTGTTATAATTCAGAAAGACAAACTGACTTAAACTACAATTTTTTGCAAGTCTAAGGATCTTAAGGAAGAAGTGACTGTCAGTCTAATTCACTAGAAGCTTGTTCTCAGACAAATGTAGTTCACAGAAACAACAATGTTTACATTTACATAATATTTTAAGTCTAAGATAAGGGACAAGTAAGCAGTAAGTAAGATCCAGGTTTTGGTGCTTACTGTTCCTTTAATAGTAGCTCCAGCGAGTCCAAGCTGGAGACATAGCTGCAGCTCTCTGCACTGAGGGCTATTCCACTAACAAACCATGGATTCATCAAACAGAACGGATCCTGCTTAGGAGGGAAAGTCCACCATTTAAAGGCTCTGCCAGTTATTTTAAGGCCAATAATGTGGGTTTCAGGCCAACAATGCACAGCCGTTACATTAACTTAGGAAGGACAACTGCTGAGTCTATTTAAACAATGAACGCAGTTTGAGTACAGTATCTATACAAAGGGAAAACATGTCACAAAGCAGTCTATTCACAAAGTACACTAGGAGCTGGTACGATCGTGCACACTCTCCGGAAAACAGCAATGATCACACAGATAAAACATTGTCTGTTTGCCTAAAATCTCACAGCCCTGGCAAGAAAGGCCAGACCAGCAGATTCAGCTAAGAATGACTTTAACAGGAGGTGCAATCTCTCAGAGCTTTGCAATTTGCTCAACTCTGCCACATAAAAAGTTAAACACCAACTAGGGGATTATTCACCAAACAGTGAGCTGCAGTGACCTTTTCACCAATGTCCAGCTTGGACAGTTTAGTCTGGTTTTACATGCACAGTAGGTTGTCAACTACGCGCTTAGTGAACAATTAAACCCCCTAAATTTCAGGCAGTGAGGCACTGTACTTGAGCTGCCTAGAACATTCAGCAGGTGTCATCCAATACTTGTGGACAGGAAGATGATCTTGAACATGCTCCTAGTAACAATAAAATGAGTTTGGTGCATTGTGGAAGAAGGAAAAATCAACAGAGGGTCATATCCCACTAGACATAGCGCTATGGCACATCTGACAACAAATTGTAGTGATCCTGTGTTTACCAGCTAAACACAATGTGCACCAATGTCTGATACTCCCTGGCCTTAAATTAAAATAAAAAAGAGCTTAATCTGTTTTTTTGTGTTTGTTTTTATCTTGACACAGTAACTTTCTCAAATGCTAAGCATGGGTGTTATGTGGATGCATTCCTACATTTAGAAGACCGAAATTCCAAACAGTCCAATGATACGTTTAGTCAGGTTAAGATGTAAGATACTATGACAGAAGATGCAGCTATATGTAATCTATAACCGCTTCCTGGTTAGATCTCAATATACGATAAAATTAAATAACAAAATGATGACCATTGTGTGTTTATATAAACACAGACTCAAAAGGAATCCATGTTTAAAATGGAATGAGGCAAAAATTTGATTCTTTGTTCAACTAATTTGCATATGCCCACCCAGAATCCTTTGCGGTAGTAACATCACTGCAGATTTGTGATTTCTGTGGGAATAGCAAGTCTTATGGCTTGACTGGTGTGCAGATTTTTGTTTAACATTGTATTAACGCTAAATATATATATATATGGCCTGCACTGATAAAGCAGCAATGAAAGCTGGTATCTGCAAGGATTACATAAACTGCTAAACTGGCACATGCATTGTTTCAATTAAAGAGTAACTATCCCTTGTCTGGAATTTACCCCATTGAAAAATCATCTGTAACGTGTCAATCTTTATTCACGAGAAGTTACATTTTCTGTTAAAATTTATTTTAACATTTTAGAAAATGACGTAATCCTTTCACTCCCCGCACCGATTCCTCTCCTGCATAGGTCATCAAAACAAAACACTAAGCCCTCAACGAATACTATCCTAACACCTACTTTTCTACCCTACCCTTACGTTTTGTGTCACTATACCGCAATCCCGCTAAGCATGTATGCTCATTGAGCAGGGCCCTCAACCCCTCTGTCCCTGTGTGTCCAACTTGTCTGGTTATAAATGTGTGCCTGTTAGTCCACCCATTGTACAGAGCTATGGAACTTGTTGTCGCTTTATAAATAATAATCAAGTTCAGACAAGACAAACATCACAAATAAAGAGAATGACTGTTCAGGAAGAGGTTAGTTTACATGAATCACAAAGCATGGAGATGCCTGATCTGGGTAAAATGGCATGTAATTAAAAAATGTACAAGGTGTACTACGCGCTGCATAAGAACTGAATTTTTTAAACTTTTACTTCTATAACACAAAAGCAAAAGTTAAAGTAAAGTGTCCCTTTAATATGAAACACTTTTTTCCATGAATGAGCATGTTGCCATAGTAACACAGTTGCTGTGGCAACATGCCCATTCATGAAGCAACTATTCCACTTGCTGTGAAACTGCTGGAAATTAAGCTTTAGGGTCTACAGACAACATGAAGTCAGAATCAACTTTACTTCAATTTATAGAAAGAAAGCATGTCTAATTCTCTCTTAATGATAAAGAAAAACAACACTACAGATGTTACACCTCAGCTTGGGAATGTAGCAAATATCAAATAAACGAGTAGTTTTTGTTTTTTTAAAATATATATATATTATACACACACATATATACACACACACCCTAGTAGATCAGAATCAGTCACACAGTTACATAAGGCCTGCCAGTTTATTTCACATATTCTATATTACAACTAATAACCATCACATTGTTGCTGCACAAGATACCAGGAGACAGATCACTGGTCCTTCATTCCATAATAGGGGTAACGTTCTTCGCACTGCATGGGGTGCACTGCCACCACCAGAAAGACCATTTGGTCTACACCGATACGTTTTCTAGCAACAGTGACAATTGGTACCAACACATTGGTACCAAGTAACAAGAGAGTCAAAGTTTATCATACAGAGCTAGACTGAGGCAAGCCATGCGTGGTCAAAACTCCATCTTCTCTGGGTAAGATTCAGTGATGTCCAAAGGGACCTGCGAGTCCATGTTTTTCTGTTCCATGTTAATAACAAACGAAAAAACAAAGCAAAAAAAAAAACAACGAAATGTTCAATAAAAACATATTTACAAAAAAAAAAAAGATTCAGTGATGTCAAACTTCAGTCTGATCCAAGCAAGGCCGACAGGGTAAAAACTTGGACTACTTTGGGAGAAATTGTAACTCTTTAGAAAAATTGCAATAAAATCTCCAGTTGACCTAACGCACACAGTGGCTGTGGCCTATTTAGAGAAAGCACATGCACACTTCACAGATTGGTGCAACTCAGCAGATCTTAATGCAGATTGGCTGCCGCCATCTGTAGTAATTTTCCCTCAATCTATATTTCCAAGATGGCAGCCTCCATACTGAAACTCTTCAAAATGGTTATCACAGCAAAATCTACTACTGACACTACTATTTCTGAAACACTAATTTCCATTATAGTGCTTCTTTAACTGCATGTTAGCACTGCCCAGACAGGAAAGTGATCAGTCCCCCCCCCCCAAAAAAAATGTAATTCTGTTTTTGAGAGCTTTTTTTTATTTATTTATAAAAGATGTTAGCTAAACTATACCTCCCATAAGCCTTTGAAGACCTTTATTGAAAGAGACTCATTGCAAAAACATTGCAGATTGGGAGGGATAAAAAGGGAGCTGTGACATCACGTTCTCGCTCAAGCGACCAGCATGTTGGAAGTCTACAAAATATATGTAAATTAATCAAATTTGTGATGGTGTCAGGAGCATCCCTTTATATATAAAAAAAATTTTTTTAAAAGTCGATTCCAATATATATCAGGAAGCTAATACTTTCTACAAAAAATCATCCAAATATACTAAACTGTAAAATATAGAATTTGAGGAAGGCAGTAGACATCTCAGAGTTAAGTCACGGCCAAGACACTAGTCCTATAACTCGTACATGTTTCATGGTATTTTGGAAAGTTACATGGTCAAATAAACAGCTTGCCCATTTAAATTTTTACAAGTTGAAATTTTCTAGATTCGTTTGTTGGACCCATGTTGCCTTTGAGATTGTATGGTAGCCCAGGAATGAACATTACCCCAATAAAGTCTTACCATTTTCAAAAGTAGACAACCAAGTGTATTCAAAATGGGATCTGAAGTCTTTTTAGTAGCCACTTATTCACAAACCCAGGCCAAAGTTAGTGATTGATAATTAAACCATTTTGTTCATGCAGACTGTCAGTCAAAGCCAAGGGAGGCGAGGCAAGGGCTGCATAAACAGAAACAAAAGTGGTTTAACCCCTTAAGGACCAAACTTCTGGAATAAAAGGGAATCATGACATGTCACACGTCATGTGTCCTTAAGGGGTTAACTATTAAACGGCATAGAATTGAGCAGTGAGACTTCAGAATTATGATCTATACACAAAAACTCCTTCATTAGTCTAAAGTTGTTTTGGTGACTAGAGCAGGCATAGACAACCTTCGACACTCCAGATGTTTTGGACTACACCTCCCATGATGCTTTGCCAGCATTATGGGTGTAAAAGCATTATGGGGGATGTAGCCCACAACATCTGCAGTGCCGAAGGTAGCCTACCCCTGGACTAGAGTGATCCTTTAAAGTCACGGCTGTCAGATTCAATAACTTACTGAAGTAGCTGCAAAGCTGTTGATCTGCAATAAATGCTAAAAACGCAAGTCTAAAATTATTTTTGCATATGTATTGAATACACTATTAGGGCTCACAATTTCAAGTCCTGTGTTACTAGACAAGAGTAAAAGTTATTAACTGCGCAAGCCTGGAGTGTCCATAGCACACTCACCAAGGGTGAGTTCCTACTTGTCAAGGATGAGTTTTCACTTGCCAGCGTACTGTTTTTTTTTTTTATTATTTATTTTTGCCATTTTTAGCGGGATCAAACAAAAACGTACAGTTCACATTCACATAAGAGAATTGTAACACACAATACATTGTGATATTGCTTTGAGTGCGTAATCCAGGCAACTTGGACTTAAACATAATAGACTTACATATAGCTTTGGAAGTCGCAAGGTAGTTGGCAATGATTATCTAGCCAATGTACTTTTAACACCAAAATAGTCTCAATATCTGCTATAATAAACCAGGCCACCTTTACTGCGGGAAACCACATAACTCTCAAATGATATACAGTCATAAAATATACAGAAAGGCAATCAATGAACACGTACTATGTACAACAGACATGAATCAGAGTCATTTACAAACTGAAAGTTTTAAAGCGGAGACCACCACGTGTTCCAGATATCCATACAGTGAAATCACGTTGTGGATTTTATTTACAAGAAACCGAAGTGTAGTGAAATTGGAAAAACTGCAACATTTAGACAAAAAGTGCTGATATGCAAAAAAAATAAAATAAACTATAATCACGGCTCTGCCATATTAGCTTACATTTTGAGAAATTGTTTACCTTTCCCCAAAAATGCAACTTATACATAAAAACAAACAAAAAAAACGCACACAAAAATAAACAAATCCAAAGTAAAGAGAGATTCAAGGCACAAGTTATTTTTAATTCCTAAATAAATAATGATGTTTACCATTGCAGCCTGGAGCATAAAGATCTAAGTATTATATATACTAAGGGGGTATATTCTGTAAATAATGACTGGATTTATAGCCAGAAAGTAACATTTAGTCCAGAGTGACTGGGATAGAGAATTTCTACAAGTCTATTATTGTTGCTTAAATTATTATGATTTCGAGTTTGGCAAAAAACGTCCAAGTTCCCTATAACAGTAGAGGCAGGCATCTTTTGGTCACAGAGACACACCAAAATACCAGATCAATCATACAACCCAGAATTGAAAGGGTGAATCAATGCTCTTGGAGAAATTCTTCCAGCTGACTCAAGCAATCAGCTCAGCACAATGTGCAGAGTAGAGACATTCTGTGTAGTTCTAGATTGTAATTCCTGCAGTGCAGGCTTGTCAGTATCTCTCGGCAGCGCTGTGAATTTGGAAGTAGAAAGTGCCACTCACTGACTGCACAGGCTGGCCAACACCCATAATATTGTACACCTCTTCACATGGGTCGGGGCAGATTCCTTTCCTAACAGAGGATTCTTTAACCCCGACAGGTAAAGAGGCTTCCCATTGACAATGCAATGAAATTAAAAAGGAACATTCAACAGCTAGAAAATGGGAGAGAAATATGGGGGCATAAACATTGTGGGGTACAGTTACAACCCAATGAGTCAGAGCAAAGTAACACACCATTTACCTCTCACAGTAAAAAACTCGTGGTATTTTAGGTTAGTTACCTTTTCTCTGGGTAAATGCACCCCAAACCATGTCTCAGGGTACTCAAACACTATTTCTATAAAAAGCAAAACCACATCCTGTGATATCCCCCACATCTCGAGATTCAGCAACAGAAGCAATTATAGGAATTATCCCCCCTTATGGTTAAGAATAATGGGGAGTATGCTGCACTATATCATGGAACACTGTATCTTACCTGTATCCCAGTACTTCATTGCTATAATAAACGTGTCATTCCTCTTATATACATGTTAGCTTTACCTCTGTATCTCACAGCGCAATCCTCTCCTTAGCAGTATATGGATGTACCTGTATGGTGACCCTTATAACTCTAGGGAGGGCTCTGTAACACACTGGATTTCTATCACTGCATATTCATGGGACAGATTCTGACAGCGGTGATACCATTTCCTCAGCCCTATCTTTACAAAAGGATTCTTGTTATATTTTAGGATCCTTATGGCTTCAAGGTATGCAGGATGCTCCCTGATCTGATAACCCAATATTAGGCTTTGTCCTGAGGTTTCTCCCAGGTAATGACTTCAGATACAGAAACCCCTCTGCACACGTCTGTGTGGCCCCCTGGAGGCAATAGTAGAGGTGCTTTCTGGGCTCCCCACCAAACTGTATGTGTGTGTGTGTGTATATATATATTGCTGTGCAGTAATCTCTGTATGTTAAATGACCTTGGAAGAACATACTAAAGTTCCCATTACCTCTGCACATACACTCACACTGGCTATGTACTTGGGAATCCCTGGCGGCATATCTAATCCCCCCCTTATCTGCCCCTGGATGTATATTGGAACTCCCTCGTTTATATCTGAAATCTCTGTACATGGGGCTCAGTAACCTCTGCATATTGTGTCCCCCTAGTTGTATATTTGGTTCCTGTAATCTCTGTGGGGGACCCCTCTGACTGTATATACAAGGCAATACATTATGCAGCTGTCTGCAGGCCCACAGATGTATAGATGCGAGTGTTATATCTTCACCACGACTATATATATATTCCAGGTGCAACAGTCTTTGTATGTAGGATTCTCATTGCTGTAAATACTAGGGTATTAAGATAACAGCAATCTTTATACATAGTGTTCCTATGACTTCTTTGTACAAAGGATCTGGCCCTCCGATGTTCTGATATAAGACCATCGTTTTTTTCAATGCATAGGTGTTGAGCCCAATTCCCAGGCTGTATATATTGCATGTGTGGCTTTCCCCAGATATCAGTCAGTACAGTTTTTGGGATACCCCAATTGAGCTCTCTAGCAGTGCGTGCAGGATCTGGGGTTCCTCACCTCAGGCTATCTGTGGATGCAAGATCTGGGGCTCCCCACCCCAATTGCCAGTGAGTGCGAGATCTGAAGTTCCCACAGGTTTACCCTACCCCCGGCTGCCTGTGGGTGTGGGAGCCATATATATGAGGCTACAGTATTTGGAGTCTTCCCAGCTGTATATTTTAGGGTGCAGGATCTAGGGTGCTCATTTGGCTGTCTGCCTAGGGTGCAGAATCTCAGGAGGCACTATCTAGAGGTGTCCTAAATGCAGGTTCCCACTGTCTGTCTATCAGGGGATGTAGTAGCTGTCTATATGGGGTGTGTTATCTCCCTCCCACAGCTCTCTATATGGGGTGCAGTATCTAGCCTCTGGCAGTCTATTTGGGGAATGCAATGTATGTGCCTCCATTGCCCTCTATATGAGGTTCAATATCTGGCCTCCACCCCCACCATCCCCATCCCAACCGGCCACCTGTGGATTAAGGTTCTGGAGTTCCCTCAATCAGCTATCTGGAAGTGAAATGCTCCCAGATACGCGAGGGACACAATCTAGATGTGTATCTGGGGTGCAGTATCTAGAGTCCCCACCTTCGATTCTCTATATGAAACGCAGTATGAATAATCTTCTCTGGTTCTCTATAGAGGGTGGAGTATCCAGGTTTCTCCTCAAACCAAAATATGTAGGCAGAATCTAGGTCACTATATTGGATGCAGTATCTCGGTCCCCCTCTGGTTTTATATATTAGTTGCAGCATATGGACCCCCTGGCTTTCTATATAGGGAGCATCATCTTGTTCCTGCCAGTTCTCTATATTGGAGTGCAGTATTTGGGTCCCTTCCCTTGGCTCTCGATATGGGTGGAGTTTAAAATGGTGCTGCTTTGGGCCACCCCATATCTCTATGTTGGAATCCCCCCTCCAGCTCTCTATATAGGGAGTAGCATCAAGGCCCACTAACTTTATATTGGGTTCGGTATTAGCTCCTCCAGCGTACCATTTGAAGTGCAGAATCTTGACCCTACCACTGCTCTCTACCCTTGGTGCAGTGTAAGGCCCACCCCCTCTATGTGGGGTGCAGTGCTTGGGGACCTCCCATTTACTTGGGGTGCAGTGTTAGGGGGGGGACTCCCCCCCCCCCTCCTCTATGTGGGGTGCAGTGGTAGGGGGGACATATGCATGTATTAGATGCAGTATTGGGGACGACCCCCCCTTCTCCTCTCTATGGGGTGTAGTATGTAGCATACACCCCATCTCTATCTTGGGGTACCTGAGGAGCAGAATCTTTTCTCCCCTCGGTTCTCTATCTGAGGTGCAGAATCTTATCCCCCACGGCTCTCTCTCTCTTTATGTGGGGGTGCAGCCATAGCACCCCCCCGTCTCTCTCTCTGTGGGGGTGCAGCCATATACCCCCCTGGCTCTCTCTCTATGCGGGGGTGCAGCCATAGCCCCCCCACCGGCTCTCTATATTTGTGGGGTGAGGGTGCAGTTATACCCCCCTCTCTCTGTGGGGGCAGCCATAGCCCCCCTCTCTATATTTGTGAGGGTGCAGTTATACACCCCCCGCTCTCTCTCTATATTTGTGGGGGTGCAGTTATACCTCCCCCCTCCTCTCTATGTGGGGGTGCGGTTATTCCCCCCCCGGTTCTCTCTCTATGTGGGATGCAGTTATACACCCCCCCCCCGCTCTCTCTCTATATTTGTGGGGGTGCAGCCATTGCCCCCCTCTCTCTATATATATTTGTGGGGGTGCAGTTATAACCCCCGGTTCTCTCTCTATGTGGGGGTGCGATTATACCCCCCCCCTCTCTCTATGTGGGGGTGCGGTTATACCCCCCCCTCTCTCTCTCTATGTGGGGGTGCAGCCATAGCCCCCCTCTCTCTATATTTGTGGGGTGCACTTATAACCCCCCTCGGTTCTCTCTATATTTGTGGGGTGCCGTTATTTCCCCCCCCCCCTCTATGTGGGGTGCAGCCATAGCCCCCCTCTCTCTCTATGTGGGGGTGCACTTATAACCCCCCCCCGGTTCTCTCTATATTTGTGGGGTGCCGTTATTCCCCACCCCTCTCTATATTTGTGGGGGTGCAGCCCTATGCCCCCCCTCTCTCTATATTTGTGGGGGTGCAGCCCCCCCCCTCTATATTTGTGGGGGTGCAGCCCTAGCTCCCCCCTCTCTCTCTATATATTTGTGGGGGTGCAGCCCTAGCCCCCCCCTCTCTCTCTATATATATATATATATTTGTGGGGGTGCCGTTATTCACCCCCCCTCTATCTCTATATTTGTGGGGGTGCCGTTATCCCCCCCTCTCTCTATGTGGGGGTGCAGCCCTAGCCCCCCTCTCTCTCTCTCTCTCTCTCTCTCTCTCTCTATCTCTATATATATATATTTGTTGGGGTGCCGTTATTCCCCCCCCCCCTCTCTCTCTATATTTGTGGGGGTGCGGTTATACCCCCCTCCCCCCGCTCTCTCTCCCGGGGTCCCAGTGAAAGGATACGGTGGAGGCTGCAGGCCCCGGATGGCGGCGGACGAGGCGGTGGGGGGAGGCACTGCAGGGGGTGGAGGTCCCACAGCTCCGGTCCCGCTCGGTGCCGCCGGTTTTAGGGCCGCTTTCTGGGGGAGACTCATGGCCGAGGGGCCCCCCGGAGCGGGGTCGGGGGGGGCTGGGGGTATCGGGGGGCTGAGGGGCCCCAAACCAGGACCAGAGGGCAATGGGGCTCTCAGGGGCCAAGCGCAGCCCTCCCCCTCCCCGGGGTCACTGGAGCCGGTCTCGGTGGGGGAAACGGGGAGATGCCGGTGGATTTTCCTCACTCGGCGACCGGAGCATCCAACATGGCGCTGCCTCCGCCTCCAGCAGTCCGGCAGGACGGACACTCGGCAATCTCCGGAAACCTTCGGTTAGGCTCGAGCGGAGGGCGGAGCATCATCAGTAGCAACACTCGCCAATTTCCGGAATCCTTCGGGTCGGCTCGGAGATTGTGAGATGTGGGCGGGTTTACGAAACCAGACTCGGCTGATTCCGACAAAATTCTATAGTATATTGGACTCTGCTGCCCCCTACTGGGGGTTTACATGACTGCTGGTGAAATCCTGTGTGTTGTCAGATTTGTCAGGAAATCAAAGTGAATTGAAAATGTAAGGCACAAAACAGCCAACTCTCCAAGTCTGCTATGTTTACAACTACTTTGGCCTTAAATTGGAAATTTCCTTTGAATTCAGTTTATTCTAGAGCTCTGTTATTTTGATCCTAAATTTGAAATTCACTTTTCCTAGCTATTTAAGAGTTCGTGTATAATGTTGCAAATATATATGAGGCATGTTGGACGCTCATCAAAGCCACCATTTTCCTGAGGACAAGCGCTGGTTATCAAACAAGTTAATAAAATATGAAAAAGGGTAGCGGCACGTCCGAAGCAGGATATCAGGTGGATGCTGGGAAAATGACGGCACAAGCCATAGTCTGTAATGGTGCGGCTTAATCACTAAACACCAGAAGCACAAAATTTAAGCCGTAGCGTATTTTGAAGAACGCTTTTTTTAGTCAAATGTTTGTAATTTATTGTTTTTTACATTAAAAACAAAACAGGGATTGTCTAAAATTAAAAGTGTACTGGCAGCACGTGGCGGCCATAATAATGATTATTCAAATACTCCTCGCTGCTAAAATAACTGTAGCCAGACACTGGAAAAGCATAACAATTCAGATTATGATGACGACGATACCGTAATTTCTTTACCCTGGATCCCCTTAGACATAAGCTGGAACACATCCAGCATAACCGAGAGCACGTTTGGTAATATTGGTAACACAGTTATTGCAATATTATCTTTCTACTATTTACGAAGACCTTGTATACACTACATGATAATAAGGTTACTATCCGTAAATACGGAGAACAACTGTAGCACGGTTCCACCCCATTTTCTTTTTTTGTTAACAATTGTAGGGAATCTTGCAAACACTGCTACATAACCATGTCATTTCCTCAAGATTTCAGTAACTGGATCGTACTCCTGAACTGTACAATGTGAAATGATGTGTTTTATGCTTTATTTGTTTCTGTTAATAAAAACCTCATAAAAATAAGACAGTGAAAAAAAAATAACACTATTTGCATGATTAAACCAAGTTTCAAGTGTAGTATTGCAACTCCAAGAGTTCCTACTTTGGGCCAAAATGTCTTTTTTTCTCCTAATGTCCCTCTTTCTAGGAGCTCCATATTGTTGGTGTGTGTGAGTGTATAACAGCGCTCCACAGCAATAATACTCCCAGTAATGTGTCTGAGTGTATAACAGAGCTCCACAGCAATAATACTCCCGGTAATGTGTCTGAGTGTATAACAGAGCTCCACAGCAATAATACTCCCGGTAATGTGTCTGAGTGTATAACAGAGCTCCACAGCAATAATACTCCCAGTAATGTGTCTGGGTGTATACCAGAGCTCCACAGCAATAATACTCCCAGTAATGTGTGAGTGTATAACAGAGCTCCACAGCTATAATATTCCCGATAATGTGCCCCGCCCCTAATATTAAAGTTTCCCCCTTTGTCCATGTGAGATGTTGGGAGATATGCTTTAAGTGTGTAGGTAAATAGAATGAGAGTCCCTTAATTAAGTCCATGTGCTTTAAACCTGACACAAGGAATTTAAGGGAGAAAACTGGTTCCAAGATTGTCAAGATTGTCATTTTGGAACAAGTAATCAGTATATACATGTCTCTTTGCCTCTTGATATTAGTGGTATTTATAGGTCAAAGAGGCAGCTATTACAGTAGGGTTGAATTACAATGTCAGTTCTGCCACTCAGGAGGGTAACGCAGTGAGCAGTGCCATCTGCTGGTATCAAACAGTAGTGACTTTGGCTGGGAGAGTCCCTTACAGCAATGGTTAGTGTTACTCAAACCACCATGACCACTGCAGTGTGAAGCCAGTGATTGGACTTGGAGCAGCTGCCCTGACGTCACAAAGAGACACGGAAAGCAATGCCAGGAACCTCACTCAGCGCTGGAATCCAGCTACGTAATAACTATTTTAAGCTGATTTATTAGTTGAGGGCTGAAAAGTATAATGCCAAATAAATAATTATACTTTTAAAAACAGACAAAAAAAACCTGTTAGCGTAACCCTTTAAGCTAGAATTACAATTATGGTCTCAACACATTAGCTTTAAATCCATACTGCACTCCTTGCAGTATTTGTCCTGTAATGTCCAAACATTAATTGCAGCAGATGGACACGAGGCATTTGAACAGTCAGGACTAATGAGTGAATTATATTATATATTATAGACTAAAGTCGCTTTTAAGATCGCTGACATAAACCTTCCACAATGTATCAGAGTTTCCCCAATTTGAGAGACGTGCCACTTAGTATCCCATTTTTCTGTCAAACACTTTCGCGTGCTTTCACAGACACTGCAGCACCTATACACCATTCCACTATCATTCGTCTTGATAACTCAGACTTTGTATTTTCCTAATGTTCCTTTAACCTCAATGCAGTTTGAATGGTAGCAGTGGGCAGGATGCAGTGGGAGTATGCTAGCCCCTCTCTCAGTTTTCCCAGCACTCATAATACCATAACCACAACACTTAGCTGTTTTGATTATAGTGCTGAAAATACCTGTTTAAAATGAAAGATGGCAGGGATTCAAGGGCACAATATATCACATTGAACAGAATGTACACTGTCTGCTTGTTTTTCAGGACAAATAGATTGAAATTGATTGATCCCAGTCTAGAACATATTGAACTAACTGCTGCTCTCTCCAAGGCATTGATGTTAATAACAATATTATACATATACAAATTCAAACTAGCCTTTAGTGAAAGCTTGGTTATTTTACCCTAATTTGGGCAGTTTTTTAAAGTGTAGAATGAGTTTTGTTACCGTACCCTAAAGAACAATATATCATTATCGCCATTTATATAGCGCCAACAGATTCCATAGCGCTTCACAATATTATTATACTGTAGAGGGGATTTAACTATAAATAGGACAATTACAAGAAAACTTACAGAAACAATAGGTTGAAGAGGGCCCTGCTCATACAAGCTTATAGTCTATAGAAGGTGGGGTATACAACACATTAGGACAGGAAATAGCAATCAAATAAGGTGGGAGCGAAGCTGAGCTGGAGAAGAGAGTAAATTCCTGCCCGTTAGGAGAGAGTAAGAGACAGGTATGTGATTCATTAGTTGCAGAACATCAGGGGAGAGGTCCGGGGAGAAGAGATGTATCTTGGTGTCATCAGCGTACAGGTGGTAGTGGAATCCAAATGAGGTAATAAGTTTGCCAAGAGAGACCGTATAAAGAGAAAATAGAAGGGGACCAAGGACAGAGCCTTGGGGGACTCCAACTGAGACAGGACGAATGGTGGATGTATCATTAGAAAAGGAGACACTGAATGAGCGTTGGGAGAGAGAGGAGGAAAACCACGAGAGGACAGTGTCACAGAGACCGAGTGATTGAAGAGTTTGGAGAAGGAGAACATGATCGACGGTGTCAAAGGCAGCAGAGAGGTCAAGAAGAATTAGTATGGAGTAGTGGCCTTTGGATTTAGCTGTGATAATGTCGTTAGTGGCTTTGATAAGGGCAGTCTCAGTAGAATGGAGGAGGCGGAAGCCGGACTGAAGTGAGTCAAGGAGAGAGTTGGAGTTGAGGAAGCAAGCCAGACGGGTAATGACTAGTCTTTCAAGAAGCTTTGAGGAAAAAGGGAGCAGGGATATGGGACGATAGAGTGGTAGGATGGGTCGAGACGTGTTTTTTTTTTAAGATGGGTACTACAGTAGCATGTTTAAGGACAGCAGGGACATTGCCAGAAGAAAGAGCAGTTGAAGATGTGTGTTAAGGAAGGCACAAGACAAGAAGAGAAAGATCTAATAAGGTGAGACAGGACAGGATCAAGCAGGCAAGTGGTGGGGCAAGAGCAAAGGATAAGCGCAGCCACCTCTTTTTCAGTAGCTTGGGAGAGAGATCTGATAAGGTGAGACGGGACAGAATCGAGCGTGCAAGTTGTTGGGCAAGAGGAAAGGAGAAGCACAGTCACCTCTTGTTCAGTAGCCTGGGAGAAGGTTGGAAGGGTTGGGGAGACATTGTCCGGGTGTGGTTGATAAAGTGAATGGCAAGGTGGTGAGAATTCTTTCCTTAGCTGTTCAATCTTGTCAGTAAAGTAGCATGCAAAGCTATTGACTGTAAGGTTAGTTTGGGGGGTTGGCCGCAGGAGGGTAAAGAAGGGAGTTAAAACAAAGGAAAACGCCTGGGACCCATACCTGCAGACAGCAGGATCCCTCACCCCCTCGAGGGACCACCCGGGGAACACATCTTCTGTTCCCACTCTGGTTCCTCCCACCCTCCCGAACACCCTAGCACAGCGACCCCTCTCTCCCCCCCCCTTTAAAACTCTGTACCCTGGAGGGGCGTGCGGCAGGCCAGACCTGACACTAACGTGAGCAGTGGCTAGACAGCTGGACCGACAAGGCTTGAGACAGAAAACATGGCCACACTTAAAATCACCTCCCTGAACGTCAACGGCCTTAACACACCGAACAAAAGACGACTATGGCTCTAGTAAAGAAAAATGGAGTGGAAATACTCCTACACAAAAGATGCCCTTTTGTCACCCATAATACACAGACCGACACCACAGGCAGGTACATCATTCTCACGGGGACCATATACACCACCACATTATCACCTGATCAACATTTACGCACACAACCAACCATACCTAGAATTCTGGGAGCAGCTACACAATTTAATACAAACACTGCCACATGGAGTTGTCATGCTGGGGAGCGACCTCAACTCGACACCCTGCCTGGCGGTCGATTGCAGTACGCTGCCTGGAGAGCGGAGGGCCCAGCGGGGTGGGGGACAAGAC